AAAGTTTTAGCCTCCTAGGCCTTCCCCAATTTCCAAACAGATTTAATCAGAGAAGTGAGAAAATGCAGAAACAAAGTAAAACAGTTAAGCAAATCAAAACAATAGTTTAGCCATAAAACAAAGTCAAGGACCTTTAGTTCTTCCTCAAGGGCAATAGAAAATATCCTGAGTCATATCCTGAGTTGTTTTGCAGATACTAAATCCCCCACCAGGTGGAGAAGTTAACTACACGCTGACCATCGGCACACAGACCCCCCAGAGTGGTCGGAACCAGAAGGTTGATGGTGTTGACTCCTGAAATACCACCCTGTTACCTCACCACCCACCAATCAAACAAACGTCCACAAGTTGATTAGGCACCCTGACCCTCTCCCTCACCTTGCTTTTAAAAATGCTTACCTGAAAGCCATCAGAGAGTTCGGGTCTTTTGATCATGAGCTGCCCATTCTCCTTGCCTGGCCCTATGTTGGGTGCCCTGCGCTAACTGCCGCACTTCCCTTCACAACCCAGTGTCAGTAGATTAGCTTTGCTGTGTCAGGCGAGTGAAATCACGTTTGGTTCAGTAGTTCTGTAACATGCTCAATTATTGGTAGCTATCATTAGCTACTAAAAATCAGCAAAATATTTTAAAAGTTATTAATAGTAACAGCACAAAATATCTAATCTCATAAAGCTTACCTTTTTGTGTGTGTGTGTGTGTGGTACGCGGGCCTCTCACTGTTGTGGCCTCTCCCGTTGCGAAGCATAGGCTCCGGACGCGCAGGCTCAGCGGCCACGGCTCACGGGCCCAGCCGCTCCGCGGCATGTGGGATCCTCCCGGACCGGGGCACGAACCCGTGTCCCCTACGTCGGCAGGCGGACTCTCAACCACTGCGCCACCAGGGAAGCCCATAAAGCTTACCTTTTATCTTCCCTTATTTTCTTTTCTTGGCCAAATTATTTTAATATGACAAATTTGAAATCATTTAATATATTTTATTTCAGCCCAGTTGGCACATAAATTTTAATCAAAGTATTATGATTACTACCATACTATGAGAGGGGCAAGTAGTAAAAAGGTAATGAGTACGAGCTCAGTGCTGATAAACATATGCTTTGCATTTATGTAGTGGCTTCGATTATGGGTCTTTAACATCTGCCCATCAATTTGTTAATGGAAAAAACCTGGGTCAGGAGGCTGGGCTGTACATGGTGGCTCCACCCAGGGGCTCTGGAAGTGGAAGAGTGCCTGGAGAGGAACTGTGATGAGTGGCATTTACAAGAGTGGGGTCGGAAACCCAGACTGGCAAGTAGGGTTTCTGCGAGCTGCAGGTAACCAACAGATGCATGAGCTGCTGACTCAAGCCTCCCTATTCTAATTGCCCACGTTAGGCCTGCAGTGATTTGTTGACTTAGGATTGTACTCCTGCCTTAAAGGAAAAACACAGGGCTGTACGTGGCCCTTACGTGTTAAAGAGCACAGACTACACACTGTGTCAGCTGTTTTGAAGACGTTGATGGTTCCATCTTTGTATTGCTGACTTTTTCTCATTTCCATATTGAACCTGCTCATTCATTGACTCCACAAACATTTATTGAGCACCTGTTGTTGCATGCCAGATAGTTTTCCAAATCTAGGGACGTGGTGGTAAAGAAATCTGACAAATATCCGTGTCTTCATGGAAACAATGTAATAGATGCTGACTGCAGTGGAGAAAAAGAAGATGCAGGAGGAGTAGGAAGGGCAGGAAGCACTGCAGAGACATGGCAGTCGAGAAGCTATTAGAAGCAGCCCCTGGCCGGGGAGGAAGCCCCGTCTGTAGAGCTGTGAGACAGAACCAGAGAGTAAACGACTGCGTGAATGACACAAGGGCTCCATCCCAGCTATTGGACCTGTTCAGTGATGGAACTTGGCAGAGCATAAGCATCTGCCTGGCCCTCGACGTGTTTCATCAGGGCTGAGAACTGCGAGGGCCAAAGAGACAAGCTTCTTGGCTGGGGGTCCCATTACCACACACGGGAGGTGTGTAGACTGGGGACCCCTGTAGCTGTGGTAACTATTTCTTTGATCAAGCTGGACAGCAAGAGTTGTCTGTACTTTTGTTTCCACTTAACACAATTAAAAGTCTGTTACATGCAGTCATCCCTCCAGCTACTTGCTTCCCTTTACGTCTTGACAAGAGCACACGTCACACTGTAGGAACAGAGACCTGCCAAGACAGACCATGTCTTTCCATCGTGCAGGGCTGGGAGATGAACCACCAGTAACCGGATGGTGCCAACACAAAGTGGCGGGTGCAGAGGTGTGTGTTTGGGTTTTTTTGGTCTGTTGTTAATATGTCAACTCATCTTTCTGTTTTGTTTTGTTTTGTTTTTTAATTTTGGGAGATGGACTCAGGTTCTTTACGGCAAATAGTAAAACTGAACTTGCCTTTGCCTCCCCAAGTTTCAAATAAATGCAGCATATACTGTTTCTTGCATTCATGTAATATAATCAGGTTCGTCATCAATACAGAGAAATATTGTTTAATAACACTTGGCTTCAGTAAAAGTGCTGGCGTGGATGCACAGAGATCTCTCTGAGTTTCTCACTACAGTGGGTCATGCTCTCGGTTACTCACTGTTCAGTGTTTGTGCAGTACTGGTTCTTTGACCCCGTGTGTTGTGTCTTTCCTGGTTAAAAGTGACCTCAGAGACCACCTCAACCAACACCCTCACTTTAAAATTGAAGAAACAGAAATCCAGAAATGTTAAGGTGCTTTCCCAATGTCTGATAGCTGTTTTGCTGCCATGCTGGAGCAGTTTAGTTAGAACCATTTCAGATACTTGAGACCACGTACTGCTGGAAGGTTCTGCTTCGCTAATTACAGACTAGTTTGTGTTTTTTTTCCAGTTATCATAAAGCTCTTTTTGCAAGTGAATACCATTGTGGAGCAGAGTCAGCTCCAGTTCCTACCATGAAGGAGGTGTGCCCACCACCGGCTGCACCAGGAGGAGGGCCTTAGGCCACCACAGGAGCCACGCAGAAGTGGGGGTGTCCAGCCAATTACACCCACAGTGCTCAGTCCAAGCTCACAGTCTGTGAATCTGACTCCTTAAATGACCTTGAGATTGTGGTAGGATGACCCAAGTCATCTTCCCTTCCTTGGTGGACAGCTGAAATCTCAGGCTTCTTCTGTCTTTGGGGTGTCTAAGATCAAAGTTTTTTCCCTTTAAATGAGAAGTTATTGTGTTTTCTGTTTACACCTTAGGCTCCCTGCTGCAGGAGCTACACTGCTGAGGTTTACCTGTGCAGAATCTTGCTGTTCCTTCTCTTTCTCCCAAGTGATTTCCTGCAGCTTTTACACCATGTTTGCTTAGGAATTTGATATTCAGGTTAGCTCTCCAGAAATCCTCAATTTCTCTTTGGCATTTCCACTCTCCCAAACACTGTTGCTCCCGGAAAAGTTTGGGGTGTGACATTTTCTGCTGTGTTACCCTAGGGAAAGGAACTACTGGGGGAGGTAGGCCTGGGACCAACAGATGATTCCTGCAGTTACATGGGAACATCAAAGCAAAGAATTATACAGAAGGGCAGACTTCTAGTGAGGCTGCCCCTTCTTTCTAGCCACTCCTGAGGGAAGGAAGTTCTGCCTTTTCTTAAATTCATAGACAGTCACGTTCGTTGGAGCTGCTCTGAGAGCACTCACTCCTAGTACAGGAGCCAGCGTCTGGCCCCCTGGGTGAGTGGAACATCCAGGTGATCCCTCAGCTTTTAAGCCCCAGGGACATAAGTGAAATTTAATTAATGCCCCAGTTTTCAAGAGCCCACTTTTAGAGAACTGTGTCCTGTCAGTTCTGAAGCCCTTTTACTTCCACTACTTCGATGGTAAGGAAGTGGCTCAGATTTTGCCACCAGCATCACAATTCAACAGCAGAAACAGAGCTGTAGAATGTTCCACACAGTAAAATCTATTCTCAATAGATAAATATATACATCATACACATTTTAATGGAACGAGCCAGAACAGCATTGTGAATTCAGTCTGCCAGGTAACTGCACCTGAACATTTAATTAGTGCAAGCAGAATTTTATATTAAGTAGGTTCTTAGCTCTTAAATTTTTTTGGATGAGCAAAGGGAGATGTTTCTAGACGTGGGCCTTAGGCTGACATGCAGGAAGAAGGCGCATTCTGATGAATGTATGTGTATGTATGTGTGTAACTGGAGTCTTGAAACACATCATATGCACAATCAAGCCCTTACCTAGAAGAGTTCTCCTTATGAAATTCTAGACTCTGATGATTTGCAACTATACAACTTCTCAACAGGAGCTGAGAAGGAAAAAGAAAGTTGCAGTTAAATAAGGGTTACCCAGAGCTTCCCTTCCTGGTACCCGACCTCTCTGTGTCTCTGGAATTCAGGAGGCACAAGGCAAGGGCTGTGACCCGGCTTCAGAAAGTCAGTGAACATTAGAATTATGAGCTGACATCTTGTTACACACATGTCACAGAGAAACTTTAGCGGAAGAAGAGCCTAAAATATATCTGGCAAATAAGTAATGAATTAATATCACACTCAATATCATGTAATGTTTGGTACGTAAAGGGCTAATGATGCTCTATATTTAGTTAACATAAAGACAAAAGAACTTTCCTAAATTCATTCTGGGTTTAATCTTCCTCATTTTTTCTCGACCCTTTAAGAGCTACAGCAAGAAATTTTCTTCATTGGACATTTTAAGAATATATACCTTGAGGAATTCGATTTAGGAAAAAAAAATAAAAGCTTTATCTTTCTATACATAATTTGTCGCCATAGATGTGACTTCTTATATAATAATTGTTATATATACTATTTATAGATTTTAGTTTCCTACCCTGCTGAGCTGAAAAAGGAGGCAGGCTGCTCGGTGACACAGCAGAGTTACGGTGACTGCTCATATTCATTTATTTTTCCAGTGTGGTCCTTGTAGATTGTATTTCTCAAGCTGATCATAAACTGCTGATGTCATATAAATATATCTTGTCTTCCCAACCTAGGTGGTTTCCAACAGCTAGTTACCAAAAGACATCATCATTTTACAACAGGAACTCCACAAAGAAGGTATGATGTAAAGTCATTTATTTTCCCCTCGATAAATTTTAAAAGACTTTAATGGAAAACGTTTAGTACTGTCATGTCACACTGAATGCCAGCAGTACCTTGACTTTTACACACAGGAAGCCAGGTCGACGTGTACACATTTCCCCACGGCCCTTCAGCAGTTTTGCATGTACAAAATTGTCTGCTATTTTGCTTTAGCAAACAGCAACATAATTTAAAACTTTCATGTCTCCTATGTGACACCTAAAATCAGTCCAACATTTATTAATACAGTTAGAAAAATAAAAGCCTTAAAAAATTCATGGTATGAGCTCACGGTGCTAATCACATGACATGAGTTTATGAGTTCATGGGATCTCATCAAATGTAAGATCATTTTAAAAACTCCTACATAACAACTTTCTGGTTTAATTTGAAAGGCCTAAGACTTGAAATCTAGTAAGACTGTTAAGTCGATGTACAAATCAATTACTTGATTTAACTTTTACTTGCCTTGGGAGAGTTAATTCTCATTGTCCACTGAATGAACGCCTTTCAAATATTAATTACTATATTACAGTATTTACAAGCTTTCTTATCTATCCTAAACTGACAGAAAGTTCAGCTGTGAGAAGGGTGAGCTCATGAGGCAGGGGATGCAAGGGAGGGTGTGAGCCTGGAGGGAGAGGGTGAAAGTGAAGCCCCCCACTGGGATACATCAGGCTCCAGGAGACCAGCCAGCCAATGATGCTGTTGTTGTCAGACCAGAAGTAAGTGCCAACAACCAGGACAAAGAGGAGGCCTGGGAAGGTGTGTTATCCCAGTAGGAAGGGAGGGAGGAAGCTAGGCCTCAGGTCAAAGGAGGCTGAGGACTGAAACCACGCCCCACAGGCTGGCAGTGAATGACCCTCTGGAAGTTACCCGATTTGGTTGAGGTGCTGGGGATACATGCCATGGATGAGGGAGGGGGTAAATGCAAGAATTTGTTTTGGCACCAGATAGTGATGCTGATTTGATTTCTACAATATTAGCTGTGCCATGTGCCCTTTTCTACTGTACTTTCTGCAAACTGTCCCACGGAGACCTACCACCCACTTGACCTCTTCGATACACTTGGCAAAGCCTGTTAGTGCTGTGGACAGTGCTGTGGACGCTCCGCTAAGAGGTGCCCACAATGCCCAGACAACCTGCACAGTGTCACAAACCTGGAGAAGTGAAGTCAAAGACTAGATGTGCTAGATTTTATGTGCCTTGTGAATGTGGACGGGATTCTCATTTAGGGGGTTTAGTTTCTTGTGTTTTAATAACACCTGTAAAAAACTAGTTATTTTATTTTTATTTTATTTTTTTTGTGGTACGCGGGCCTCTCACTGTTGTGGCCTCTCCCGTTGCGGAGCACAGGCTCCAGACGCGCAGGCTCCGCGGCCATGGCTCATGGGCCCAGCTGCTCCGCGGCATGTGGGATCTTCCCGGACCGGGGCACGAACCTGTGTCCCCTACATCGGCAGGCGGACTCTCAACCACTGTGCCACCAGGGAAGCCCAAGTCATTATTTTAAAAAGCACACTCTCCTAGGTCTGGTCTGTGCATGGATACAAACACCACCCCATCTCCCTTGCACCCTTCCTGGTGGGTGGTTGTTTAGAAGCTGCTCACACCAAAATTTTTTTTTTTTTTTTTTTTTTTTTTGCGGTGCGCGGGCCTCTCCCCCCCATGGCCTCTCCTGCTGCGGAGCACAGGCTCTGGACGCGCAGGCTCAGCGGCCATGGCTCACGGGCCCAGCTGCTCCGTGGCATGTGGGATCTTCCCGGACCGGGGCATGAACCCGTGTCCCCTGCATCGGCAGGCGGACTCAACCACTGCGCCACCAGGGAAGCCCACACCAAAATTTTATAAATGAGATTCACTCAATATAATGTTTAAAGCTCTTACGTGAGAGTCTTTAAAACTTTAAACGTTTCCATAATCAGTAAGGGTTCTCTGGTGGCCCACTTTTACATGCAAATACAGACAAACTGTTAACATGCATTACTTCAGTCAATTGGTAAAGTTTATTTTGTAAGTGTAAGTAATTTTAAGCCATTTACTAATTTATAAATTTCAGTCACGTAAAACCACTACCAGGGCAGTTCTGAGGTATTACTGTTAATTCGCTATAGAAATATTCCTGTATTGTGAGGTGGTGTGAAGTGTGACTGCCCTGCCTTTTGGTGAGCGGTGCTGACTACAGGTGTGTTCTAGAGAGTGTTCAGGAAACTGCTGTGCATGTGCATTAACCGAGCTTCCAAACATGACTGGCAACTTGACTGGCTGGTCTGCCAAGTGAACCAAAATCATAAAGATGGCCACGGAATGGGCCACACAAGTCGAGAAATGACAGTGTATAGTGCCGCCTCAACCTGGCTTCATCAAAACCCGTCCTACTCAAGTCACTTACAAGGAGAATGTGTGCAAAAAGCATCCACAAAGCCTATCAGCAGGTTAATTTTAAATGAACTAGACCATGTTTTTGCTTTTAAAATTCATTTATAAAAATAAATTTCAGTTTGAGACCTCAGATACCAAATTGTGGCTTAATTTAGTCGTGATGGCGAGACTAAAGTTATGAAAACCGCGGTTGGAAATGTGAGCGCTCCAGCTCGTTCCCTGCGGTGTGGCCGACGCACTCACAGCCCTTCTCCTACTGGCCAAAATACTCAACTTTTGGACAAACTTCTAGCCTGCCCTTGTCCCCAAATGCCACAAAACTTTAAATCTTAGACCTCCAATATAAAACCACTAGTAACCATAATACATTCAAGATAAGGAAAGCCCTGCACCTGCCTCAAGAGACACCGCCCCACTGCCCGGGCACAGACACAGCGTGGGGGACATGGGCGCCCACTTGCGCGTACAGCTTATTCAGATGCTTTGTACTGGAGCGCAGAGTAAAGTCCCCCCCGAGTCTTTATCTCAGAGCAACAATAATTTAAAACCAGTTTGAGAGCATGAGCAAATCCTTGTAGGTTCTGTGCTGTGAGATGGTAACAGCCTGGCCCAGCCTCCAGGGATCTGTGTGCATCAGGCAGGAACACTGTCGGGTGGAAATGCCAATATGACTTACTTCTTAGACTGTGCTGACTTTGACGCCTGTGTTAGACCGATTTCTCACACCAGAAGCTTTCTGCCTCAGTCAGAAAAGTATTTGAGGGACAGTAAAGAACTGAACTAAGGAAAAAGTTTCTGGCCTCCAAATCACCACACACACAGAAGCAAGTTTCAAACTACTGTCCTCTCTCAGTGCAGACAAGGGACTGGCTGATATGAACACAGTGTTCAGTCTGTGGAACAGTGTGATGCAGCAAAACCCTGATCTCATGCAAACCCGAACCAGTTAACTGCGGCGAGAAGACAGCCCCGCTCAGTGTTCTCTCACGAATGCGACTCTGCACACAAATGCACGGGGCTCAGACCTCACTGATGGTCCTCTCTGAAGGGCAGTACTCCGAAGGGCCTGCCGAGGACACGTAGAAAGACTGCGTTTTCCTTTTCAATCTGGCTCTTTTGTTGGCCAGCACCAGGCTATGCCGGCTTGAGTTGATGATTTCTGAAATGAACTTTTTGCAGTCTACACACACCTCCATGGTGCTCCAGTCCTCCATCAACTCTTTGGGAAATTGGAGTTCTTCATCTGATTTGTCCACAGACTTGGATTTTGAGGACAATCTGGAAAAAAACAAAACATTTACGACATCCATTATTGTTACTTATAGTTCTACTGCAATACTAAGAAAATATGTGCAAAAAAAGTAAATCTGTTGGCAAAACATGATGGAATGGGTGGGTGATTTAGTCACGTCAGTGTTGTCCAAAGAAGAAGTTATAATTGGCGACAACTTTCCAAATATTTTTGGGGACTTCTCTGGTGGCGCAGTGGTTAAGAATCCACCTGCCAATGCAGGGGACACAGGTTCGATTCCTGGTACAGGAAGATCCCACATGCCGCGGAGCAACTAAGCCCGTGCGCCACAACTACTGAAGCCCATGTGCCATGACAACTGACCCGTGTGCTGCAACTACTGAAGCCTGCGTGCCTAGAGCCTGTGCTCCGCAATGAGAAGCCACCGCAATGAGAAGCCTGTGCACTGCAATGAAGAGTAGCTCCTGCTCACAACTAGAGAAAGCCCACACGCAGCAATGAAGATCCAATGCAGCCAAAAATTTAAAAAAGACATGTCAAATTATTAAAAAAAAAAAGAAACAAAATTTTTTAAAGAAAGAAACCAGGAAACCTTTTACTAAGAAATAATAATACGGGACTTCCCTGGTGGCACAGTGGTAAAGAATCCACCTGCCAATGCAGGGGACACGGATTCGAGCCCTGGTCCGGGAAGATCCCACATGCCACGGAGAAACTAAGCCCGTGTATCACAACTACTGAGCCTGTGCTCTAGAGCCTGTGAGCCACAACTACTGAGACCATGTGCCACAACTACTGAAGCCTGTGCACCTAGAGCCCGTGCTCCGCAACAAGAGAACCCACTGCAGTGAGAAGCCCGCGCACCGCAACGAAGAGTAGCCCCCCACTCGCTGCAACTAGAGGAAGCCCACATGCAGCAACGAAGACCCAACGCAGCCAAAAATAAAAATAAATAAATAACGTTATATTAAAAAAAATACTACTACTAAAAGCTCTTAGTATCCCTTCTAGAATTTTTGGAAAATAGGATATTCAGAGTATTCACCTGACTACTATACGTAGATAGATCATGAACTTTAACAACCGAAATGAAATGAAGTACATGTTGCTAATCTCTCTGATGATTCAGAGAAAACTTCAAGTTCTTTCTCCAGTGACCCTGTGTCATGGTTAATGAACATTAGTTAACTGTAGATGGTAGGTGAGACTATAAGAAATTGAAGTAAATTTATCTTAATCCTACGACAAATCCTGAAAAATTATCTTTGGACCAGCTTTCTTGTCATTTCGTATTTATCAAATGTGCTTCCCGCTCCACAACAATTCTCTATATCTGGGTGACTGACTATTTGGATTCCAGAGAGCTGGAGTTAACTAGACCAACATCATCATAAATGTTGTGGATAGTTTTTGGAAATAACTAGGAACCATCTACTCATTCACTATTTTAATTAAACCAAACAGGAACACAGAGCTAGTGCAGAAAAGAAAAGACCATAGTTCGCCTGCCTGAGCCCATGGACAGCAGCCCATACTCAGAGGTCAGGATGGGGACTGAGCACAGGGGCAGGAACCTCGGGTACAGGTTACTGCTGGGCTCTCAGCTCCCTCACCTCACTGTCCACAGACCCTGACATGCAGAATGGCCACCATCCAGCATCTGGCACCAACACCAGTGTCCCTCCCAAATAGGAGGCCGCTGGTACATAAAACCCCAACACCCTGGGCCCTGCCAGCATGTGGTCTGACCTCCTGTCTTTCTTAAGGACCAACACTAACCTTACTCTGCATTAAATGCAAAGGGATTGCTATTTGGGCACCTTTTTTCTTTTAAATTGTCAGCTCTTGGCATAAAGCTTTATTTCTGCCTTTACAATAGGAAAGTAAGCCAAAGTTATCACAGACTACTGTAAACACAGGATTAAAAAGATTTTTTTCAAAACTAAAGAAGGAAAGAAAGATTAGACTGTTATGTTCAAGTTTTCAACTCCATTGAAAACAAGGTCAGTTTTAAAGATGACTTTTAAAGGACACACAAAAGTAATTATTTCCAAAGTAGAAAAAAAATTAAACTGAGAGATTAAGTATCTTTCAGGGAACTAGCCATCATCCCTTGTCATGTGACCTTTGGCAAGTTTTGGAGATTTGTGTACAAGTCAAAACTATATTAAAACCAAGCCACCCACCCACCCAAACTCCTGCAAGCCAAAACCCCACCATATCACCATAGTCCTCAAAAGAGCTCTCGCCTTTCACAAAGGATGCTCTGGAGACCCGGCCCCTTGCTCACCTGGCAATGCTCCGAAGTGGCCGATGGTGGCCAGTGGAGGGTTTTTCTGGCCTCATACAACTTTCCCCTCTCTGCAAGGCAGAAGGTCCCAATGAAAAGATAGGAAGGGTGGAGTATGGCTTGGAGGGCAGCCGCATCTAGTATCCCAAATAAAACTGAGAATGAGCAGTACTGTTAAAGAGGCAGAGTCAATAAAATTAGCACAAGTTGTGATTTCACTAAGCTTAGCTTACCTTTTTGCAACACTGTGAGCACACCGGCCTGTACACAAAATCAGAAGTGTTACTCAGCGTGATAACCACGAACGCAACTGCAGAGTTAGAGAAGCCGCAGGCTGCGTGGCTGTGAATTTCTACAGTAAGTCCCCTGGACTCTCTGCTTCTTCTATCAGAACGTAACAAACTGAGACAACTGGATTGCCAAAAAGACAATCACACTGTAAAACTTAACTCTTACACTGTCCTATGAAAGGATCAACTTACGTCTGTTTGGGATTTTCTTACTTGTCTATCCTGGGACCACATGACAGTCACATCTATTTTTTTCTGTTCAACATGACATATTATTATTAGACCTATCTTGGATATGAAAAGAAATACATGCAGAGAAACTTTTCAGGCTTAATATCAAATAATTGTCCACTCTTGAAGCAATCACTATTACTAACTTACAAGCACAGCACATGATAACAGACTGGATTATTTCTAATATTGTTCCTCAGAGAAAAATGATGAAACAGTGGATCCTTGACTGCTGTCATCAATTACAAAAGCCTTACCTCTTACAGAACTGACAGGTATAAGACCAAGTGAAGAAGGAAAATCTCCTGGTTCGGCAACAAAAGCAGAGCTAAAAAATAAAAATTTTAAAGGAGAAAAAGGCATTGCCAATAGTTAATTTCCTAATTTGCATGTTTGGACACACATTTATATGTGGAAAGTTTAGTAGACAAAGGGAGAAGAGCATTTAGAGACCCTTTTATTAAGTTTGGTTCTGTGATAATTATAATCTGCTCTGTATTTGATTATAATTCTACCTTTAAATGGTAATAAAAGACCACAGTTCTCAAGGGTCTTGCCACCATGAAAGCAACCTGAAGAAGGTTCTGAAAAAGTCTTCTCTGTTTCTCAGATACATATTCTCTACAATCCTTTAAAAGTGTAACAACTAAGGGCAGACCTTGTTTTATGAAGGCATACCATTATTTATTATGGTGGTTTTAACCTTCTGGTTTTCAATTTCTCAGGGAGAAATAAAAATACTTTTGTGAGCAAGGCAGAAAAGGGACTGCCTGCCACGGGGTAAGCCTCTTACCTCCTAGAATCCCCCCAAAGTCCTATGCCATCTGGCCACCAGACAGTGTCCTCAGGGGACATGCCTGTGACCGACCAATCTTCTAACCCTGCTGATCCATCAACTGTAAGTGGCTCTACCTTTCCTTTTTTCAGAGCAGTGTAGACATCTTTATACTGTTGGTATTTTTCCAGCTCTGCCTTCACCAGGACCTGACGAATATGCATCACCTCCTCCACAGTAAGTGCTAGGCATTCCACTGGGTAGCAGAATTCCTCCTGAAATTCAAAATTCCACATGAATAAGAAGCTCCCACCACCCTTCTGGCAAGGCAAAGTTCCCCTTCAGATCAGTCACCTGGTTAGTAGCTTCAGAGAAGAAAAGAGGTTTCCCAGTAAACACTGGAGCAGAGCTGGCTCACTCTGGGGACCACACAGTTTCTAATTACACTGAGACAAGATGATGGCAGAAAACTTCCGGGACCGTGTGAAACACTGTAGCCACTGAAATTTCCAATTAGTAAAATTTCCTCACATTTGTTTAGATGTTTTGCCTCAGGTATCTCTATTCCATGAAGTGGAGCTACATATCTATGCATTGAAATCTTGGGAAAAAAATGTTATTGTTCTAAACCAAATTTCTGTCAGTTTTCTCCCATGATTACACAAAGATATTATTTACTTTTGTGTTGTATATATCTGCTAATAGATAAATAGCAAACCTACAACATTGGTACTGTTTTAAAAACTGATTTGTGGTACCCAGAATAGCCAAAAGAAGGTGGTTAGTAATCGATATTGAGAAGCGTTATTTAGTGGTAAGTTACATCAGCACAGCCTAAAAACTCCTAACAGTGTGAGTGGAACTGGACCTGGAAGCCAGCTGCCCCACACTCTCCAGATCTCTCATCACTTTTAAACAACTGCGGAAGTACAGTCCGCACTGGACAGATGTGGAGACACTCAGAGAACTCTGACGATAAATATCGAAGTTGGCTGTCTTATGTTAATGGTTTCCCTAACAACAGTGGAGGAAGATGTTGATGTAACTGATCCCACTGAATAAAGAGCCTCACACCATCTGCTCCCCAGCCGGCCCTGCGCTTGATTGGTGGGCCCAGTAGAAAGACAGAACGGTTTTGTGCGCCCGCACCCTGCTGGACTTCACAAGGGCTATTGTGGCGGAGTGACACAACCCCGATGTCCTCGGTGCACACACACTGTAACTCACGCCCACACACACAATAGTGCTGCTCACAGGCATTCTGGAATCAAACAAGCCAAAGGAGACAGCACAGGACTATGAGTGCAGTCAGTTTATGGAGTTTTAACATTTAGTTCTGTCTTTCAATCAGAGAAAAACAAAAATAAATCTAGGTTGCAAACTTGAAAAACATTAGCATTTACTAAAAAAAAAAGTAGTTTGCAGAACTACTGCTTCTTACAAATAATCAATACAAAATCATCTCTGTTCAAGCTAACTTAGGGAAGATTAAATTTGCTAAAAATGTTTTGGAAAAAATCGTGCAATTGAACGTTTAAGATGAAGAGCTTAGTATCTGGAGGGTGGGAGGATAATTCATGTGCTCTAGAATGTCTGATATACTCAAAAAAACCCACCATTACCCAATTTTCTTTCAATGGGAAGAGCTTTAAAAGTTGGCATGTCCAATATTTCCTGAGCTTCGCTTGACCCTGAGAACAGAGTGTGGGAACGGGCTCGCCTCCGAACGCTGGGCATCACAACTGTGCACAGATAGTAGGGTCAGCTGCACACGTCTGAACAGCAACTTTTCTCAGCTTCTGACATAGTTCATAAGAAGTATCCCTACGGTCATCTTTATTCATCAGCAACAAGCATGACTATCGTACATTTTCTGACAGTTACCTATGTGACAATATTGCTGAGCTGGAGTAAAGTAACGTATGAATCTAGCAAATAAGCAGAAGACCACTCCCTGAGATTGGCTGTCATGTATTAGGAAGATGGTGCTGGTGCCAACGTCACAGCTGCGACGCCTGGGTGGCGGGGATGCTCCACACACAGCAACCCAGACAGCCCGCAGCTCCCAGTCCTCAGTCTCAAGTCATAAAGGGGCCAGTCAAGCACACTTCCAACTTACTGCTTTGACCCATGCACAAATCCAGTGTTCCATCAGATGTAATAAGAAATAGTGGATTTTTCTGTGTTCTTGTTCTTTTTTAAAATTTCAAGCAGATTACCCTTTAGTAAAATACCTTCCATCAGGTCAAATGCTAATGTTTTAATTCTGGTGCTTTCCCAAGGACAACAAAACTTTAATGCAACATGAAAGAAAATAATAGTTACTAGAATAGCTTTCATTATTTTTTCAACTGACAAAAAATATTAATTCAACATCCCCAAAGCCAAATTAAACCTTAACAGATCTTGCTGAGATGCTGATGCCCCAAAATGTGAAGAGCACTCAGGGTTACCCATGAGCCGAGCCTAGTCCCCGTTGTTACAATGGGCCAGGTCACACCTGCAGCAGGCACTGACCTCAGTTCATGGCATGGACTCCAGGGACCAGAGCAGCACAACTCTGATTCTCTGGCTGCTCTGTGCTTCAGTATGGCTTCCAAATTTAGGAAAGGGAAGCTAAATCTTAAAGAGTTTTAACAGAGATTACAATATACTGTAGGAGCAGATGTGCCTTTAGAACTCACTGTTACGTATGTCACTAAAATGGCTGAGTTTTTGTTAAATATTCTGGTTATATTTACCATTCAAAAGGGGTCAGAGTTAGGGAGCACAGAAATCAGAGAGCATGGTGTATAATCTGGTTACTGAGCCAGAGAAGTGGAAATGGTCATACTTTATAGAGTGTTCTTGGTTAGCCAAAACTTCATAAATAAGTAGCAGATATTTGACAATTATCCAAAACAACCATTGGTTTTTGTTTTTAATAAACCAAAGGAAGGCAGATTTAAATAAAAATAGCAAATATTAAGTTTAATTACTCTTTTCTTTTTTCAAGTTCACCTTTAAATTTCAAGGTGTTCTCTGTCTAAAGTCACATGTAGACTTAGTAGACAGACTGTTTGGGGAGGGTTGAAAATAAAAATAAAATGTCAGCAGATCTTCAGAAACAGCAGGAGGGACAGGATTAAATGCCACCTCCGCATCTGACCATGTGCTCACAGGGCCAGATCTAAAATGAAAAAAAGAAGAGATTTATCCTGTATTTCACGGCAAATAAAGAGAAAGGAATCTGTTGTACCTCATTTACATTCAGTCTCTTTTCTAAACCAAGCTGGGTCATAAAGAAAAAGAAACCAGCTGCTGGTTTGCTTATCCAGGACAGGTCTGGTAAACAGGATGGTGGAGAGCCGGGCTGGGCGGCTGCCGACACCTGGTCAGCAGGTCAGCAGCTTGGGTCACACTGGGGGCAGGGGAAACCTCAATATGGTCCGAGGCTTTTTATCCCACTTAAGTTCGGAAACTATTATACTTCCTTTAAAAAATGTATTCTGTATGAAAATCTCAAAAACAATACAAAATGAGAATTATTTAAAATATTTTAAATCATCACATCAATTTAAAAAAACTTCAAATTTCTCTCTACAGAGAAGCACGGTGATTTTTCATAACAACCACATAACATCCTGACCATCACAACACAGCTTTAAAGGTGCTGGAGAAGAGAAAGAGTGCCCGAGCCTCCCTGGCCAGGCAGCTGAGTGTATGGGCAACGGCTCTTCTGAGGGTGGGGCAGCCCTGGGCTGGGGGAAGGCCCTGATTGGAGGGGTGGGGGGTGGGGGGACGTGGTTCAATCAGGGGGCTCAGAAGCACCGCCCACAGCTCCTCTGTGCTGATGCCGCTGCATTCTGAGTTTGTTGTCCTTTCACTGTCGTCCCGTCAATTGAGATCATGGTGTGATCTACGCATCTACCAAAGATTGGAATCAACAGAAGCAAAGTGTCCATCTAAGCTGTTAATTTTTGCAGAGTGCGGTAGCTGAGGGATCACTGCCGAAGAGGCAGAGAGGAAAATAATTCCCAGAACCAGCAGAAAGAGGCCAACCTTTGCGGATTTCCACCTGCTGGTAAAAGCTCTCTCACACAGATAATACATAGCCCCTGCTACCCCCAACAAGGCTGCCTCCAAAGGGTGAGAGCCGAGCAGAGAAGCTGTTTGAAGGGTAGAAAAAAGCGGTCGGAAAGGTGTCGTTGGCCATACTCTGGTTATCCTAGGAACCTGAACAATAGATAAAGGAAAAGAAAACGGCAGGGGAAAAAGAAAAGGAGAAAATAATGCTGAATATGAGTGACCTACAAATAGCGATTACAGAGCATGAAACAAAAATAAACAAAACAGAAACACCACGGAGGATGTTAATGGTAGATTCCACATGCAAGTCCATGCCATCGTCTGCATCCACATGTATCAGTCAGGAGCCCAACCATGCCTAGAGAACCTCAGAGTTCACACGGCAACACTTAAGCTTTCTGGAACTCGGCTGTCCTGTGAACACTGAGTCTCCTGCACAGGGCTCGGTGGGATGCAGGCCAGAGGCGAATGCAGAAACATACACCACGCAGCCACCCCTCCCCCGGTCGGTACTTAAAAACAAGTCGCCTTCATTTAGAGGCGTCATCCACAATCATCTGACCAAATGATGAAAAGAATTACACTTTCAACATCCTAAGGAAAGGGAGGAAGATACAATAAAAATGAAAATCAGTAACAACAAAGACATTTCTGCCATTTTTAGTTGAGAACTTATAAATACAAAACATTTCCATGTTTTCTAAAACATAGCTAAAATTTTAAATTATCATACTTTTAAAAACAATACTTACCAAGCTAGATGGCACTACCATTAAAAGAGTGTGATTTTATGGATTTCCCAAGATAAACTACTGGCAAGAAAAGTCAGGACTTTGACCTGGAGGTTCTTTTGTCTCAGCTGGTGTCTAGAGGCACTTCGGGGGCAGAGTTCTGTGCCGACCACAGGTCTCCCCTGCCTGCTCACTGAGCCCCTTCTCCGCCATGGCATGTGGGTTGTATCTTCCTCTCCTTCTCCATAAAAAACTGACAGCCGGACCACACACACACTGAGTTCCCCTTCACCAGGAAATATATACCTCACGGGCCTTTCTTGGTAAAGCTTCCATCACTAGCCAAAAAATCCTTGTAGTTGATCTGACAGTTTCTTTTTTATTTATTTTATTTAATTTTATTTATTTTTTTATCTTTTTGCGTTACGTGGGCCTCTCACTGATGTGGCCTCTCCCGTTGCGGAGCACAGGCTCCGGACGTGCAGGTTCAGCGGCCATGGCTCACGGGCCCAGCCGCTCTGCGGCATGTGGGATCTTCCCGGACCGGGGCACGAACCCGTGTCCCCTGCATCGGCAGGCGGACTCTCAACCACTGCACCACCAGGGAAGCCCGATCTGACAGTTTCTTTACACTGATAATTTTAAAATTTAAGCCTAACCTCAACAATGATGTCATATGATCACAAGGCCAGGTACACAGCTGAATGCTAAACTGACTTCTAGGAAAAGCTGTGAAGAAAAGAATCTCCTAATCGCTGGACTTGTGGGGAAAAAAAAAAAGGAGTTCTCTCTTTTTCAGTTGTGACAATATTTTCCAGTTGTGACAATAACTGTGTATTTTGCTAAATAACTTACTGACAAAAGTCTTTGGATTTTAAACTTTGAACCTGGTGGGTCAGAGTTCTGTTTTTCAGTTGGTAAACCACTGATGAGGCTGTACTTCACCATATATCAGTGTGTGGTGATTATTTAGGAGTTAGAGGAATCCTAACAGGAGTTGCCATGAAATCATTAGTTCTTTAATCACATTATTTGGGAATAGAGAAGACTGATCAAATTTCAACACTATCAGCATGGTTCAAACTTCGTTTCTTCACAAGATCCATACTATCTCCCTTCACCTGGACAGAGGGACCTCTGTCATTGCTTCATTTGAACCCCTGATGATTCATCGCAGCCTAAAAGTATGGACTGAGTGTAGTCCAGTGTTTTATTCATGAGAATCTGAAGAATAATTAGGTATCAGGTTGGCTGCTGGTAGAATTATTGACTGAAGCCCTGCATCTTGCCTACAAGTATTTTAGAAGTCAAGTGGGACAGAAAGAGTCTTCGCAGGCTTTCTCTGGCTGGCAGACCTGTTAGCTCTTCCTGGAAGGGCCTTGTGTGCCACATCCCCTGTCTGAGAAATGAGTAGCCCCTACATGAGCCTGGAAGTCTCCGGAAAACAGCAAAAACTGTCAACCCGTCCAAATAGCTGCTTTGGCTCCAATATCACAAAACATGCTTGAAAACAATGAACAATGGTTTTTCATGGATCAAAATTCTCCCCTTGGACTTCTGCCTCAATAAAAGAGTCTACTGTAGTCAGACTTCACTAAGTTTTCTGTTTAGTTTCAACAATTTTTAAGTGGATTAATGCCCTTTGAAAGGAAGAAAGTATTTCTTTAATAAATATCCATACTTTCAACCATTAATAAGTCTTCTGGGGAAAAAAAAGTACTTTAAATGAACAAAGAATGGTTAGACTTCATTTGGGTTACTCTTAGGTTTGGTTTTCTTTAGCTACTAAAAACCAGTAAGGTTATTTAAAGTTCAGTCTAGCTTTTGGAAGTTTCTCAAGGAAGCTAATGATTCCAGACCCTCTAACTGCTCGCAAGTTACTCTGCAGAGTCTGTCGGTTACTTACGAGAGACCGGGAGCTCTGCCTGGACGCTGGCAGGAACTGTCTCACATTAGTGGGTGTTTCCTTTTCAATGGAATGTCGTCTCTGGGGTGGCTGCCGTCGTTCTGGCTGGGGTGTGGAGGATATGGGCAAGAACTTCGGAGGGTCTAAAGAAACGGAATGAACCACACTGAAATCAACTCTCATAAAAAAAACTTAAGTTTTGAATTTCTAACAGAAAACCCTTTGTCATTTGTGACAAACACTGCATTCAAAGATGAACTGTTTATTTTGTTGGAGAGGTATATTAAGATTGGAGGTCTGTAGGGGGATACTGGAAGGATTGTTATAGAAGAATCTTTGCAAGATAAACTTGCTACATAAATAGAAAGGAAAAGGAAAAAACAGTTTTTAACATTCATTCAAATTCATGCCTAAAACACAATATAAATAGTCTCTCAGATTTGTAATACAAATGCCATCATGGTATTTTCCACAGAATTTTGCAGTTAAAGAGTCTCAGGCTTTATTTAAATTTTCTTTTAATTGGACAAAAGACTTGTATTCAATAAGAAATTTTTAGAGCAAAAAATTCAAGAAGTAGATCTTGGACTTTATTTTAAAAGCATGTAAAAATTATGTATTCTGTGTGTCAAATCATACCAGAATTCTCAAGTGTACCCTCCTTTTACATTCTTTTTGAAAATAAAATATGAAAACTCTTTCTTCTTGATGTGTATCAAGATATTTTATCCTTAGGTTTAAATCAAGCTTTATTTAAATTTCAAAAAATAAATTCTAGCTTCAATGTTAATACTATATATGCCACTGCTCCTCTGCCTAGGAATATTTGGGGACAGGGTTTAAAAGGAGAATGTCTCAGGGTCTGATTCACATTTTGGAAACATAAGGAGGACAACAGAAATCATTTCTGCTGTCAGAGCTTTACTTCTGTTATTGATTTCTAATCAACTGGTAGCCACCCCAGCTCACTTTTGGTTACTCTCTGCATGGAATATCTTTTTCTATCCTTTCACTTTCCATCTGTTTATGTCTTTGCATCTCAAGGAGTCTCTTGTATACAGCATGTAGTTGGATCATGTATTTATCCATTCTGCAAATATCTGTCTTTTGATTAGAGAGTTTAATCCGTTTACATTGAAAGTAATTACTGGTAAGAAGGGACTTATTTTTGTCATTGTGCTATTTGTTTTCTATATGCCTTATAGCATTTCGTCCCTCATTTTCTGCATTCCTGTCCTGTTTTGTGTTTAGTTGATTTTTTTTTTTTTTGCGGTACCCGGGCCCCTCACTGTTGTGGCCTCTCCCGCTGCAGAGCACAGGCTCCGGGCGCGCAGGCTCAGCAGCCATGGCTCACGGGCCCAGCCGCTCCGCGGCATGTGGGATCCTCCCGGACCGGGGCACGAACCCGTGTCCCCTGCATCGGCAGGCGGACTCTCAACCACTGTGCCACCAGGGAAGCCCTAGTTGATTTTTTATAGTGAAATATTGAAATTCCTTTCTCATTTACTTTTTGTTTATATCCTATAGCTATTTTCTTTGTTGTTACCATAGGGATTATATTTAAGATCCTAATTTTATAACACTATAATTTGGATTAATACCTGCTTAACTTCAGTAACACAGAAAACCTCTGCTCTTATACAGCTCTGTCCCCATCCCTTTCAGTTCATGGTGTCACAGAATTACATCTTTATATATTGTCTGCCCCCAAACAGACTAATAATTCTTTTAAATGCTTAAGTCTCTCAAATTATACAGAAAACAAGATTTGGAATTACAAACCAAAGTTACAGTAAAACTAGCTTCTGTACTAATAGTTCTTTTTTTCTTTAAATGTATTAGTTTGTTAAGTCATGCAGAAAACAAAAAGTACAATTACAAACCATTGTTATAATAATATTAGCTTTCATAATTGCCTATTTATCTTTATTGAGATCTTTATTTCTCTATATGGCTTTGAGTTACTGTCTAGTGTCCTATCATTTCACCCTACAGGACTCTGTTGAGCATTTCTTGAAAGGAAGGTCTAATGGTCTTGAGTTCCCTCAGCTTTTGTTTATATGAGAATGTCTTGATTTCTCCCTCACTCTTGAAGGACAGTTTTGCCAGATATAGGATTCTCAGTTAATGACTTTTTTCTTTTAGCACTTAGAATATAGTGGCCCAGGGTCTACTGGCCTCCAAAGTTTCTGATGAGAAGTCTGCTGAAAATCTTACTGAGATCCCTTGTGTGTGATGACACTCTTCTCTCTTGCTGCTTTCCAGATTGTCTTTTGAAATTTTGAATATACAGGTTTCCCCCACTATCTGAAAGAGTATTCCTATGAATCCTTTCATAAACTGAAATGGTATAAAGCAAAGAAGCAAATACCTTAGGACACATCTTGCTAACGAATGCACAAAATAAATCAAGGTAAAGCACAGATGCTCACAGACACAGTTCAAAGTTATGGTGGCCTGATGCAAAGGCTGAACACTTTTTTTTTTTTTTTTAGAAAACTGGGCTGGAGATTTAAATTTATTTATTTTATTTATTTTTATTTTTGGCTGCATTGGGTCTTCGTTGCTGCACGCAGGCTTTCTCTAGTTGCGGTGAGCAGGGGCTACTCTTGGTTATGGTGCGCAGGCTTCTCACTGCAGTGGCTTCTCTTGTTGCGGAGCATGGGCTCTAGGCACATGAGCTTCAGTAGTTGTGGCATGCGGGCTCTAGAGCGCAGGCTCAGCAGTTGTGGCTCATGGGCTTATTTGCTCTGCAGCATGTGGGATCTTCCTGGACCAGGGCTTGAAGCTGTGTCCCCTGCATTGGCAGGTGGATTCTTAACCACTGTGCCACCAGGAAAGCCCTGAACACTAGTTTTGCTTTTCAGCTTTTTTTTTTGGTAAAAGCAAAAATCCTGTGCTGATTTCTTTCAGTTAGTAAAAACAGGTATCAATGTAGGTCTTTTGTAAAAGTGAAGGGACATAAGGTGAACTTTTGAAAAGCAGGGGATACCTGTAATGTGTCTTGGTGTGGGTCTCTTGACTTCACCTCAGTTGAGCTTCTTGGATATTTATATTCATGTCTTTCATCAAACTTAGGAAGTTTTAGTCATTATTTCTGCAAATATTCTGCCCCTTTCTTTCTCTTTTGCTCCTGGGACTCCCACAACGCATATGTTGGTCCACTTGATGGTGTTCCACAGGTCCCTTAGTCTCTGCTTTTTTCAGTCTTTTTTCTTTCTGATCTTCAGTCTTGATAATTTCTACTTGCTAATTCTTTCTTTTGCCTACTCAAATCTGTCTTTGAATGCCTCTAGTGATTTTTTCATATCAGTTATTGTACTTTTCAGCCCCAGAATTTCTTTTTTGTTTCTTTCTAGGTTTTCTCTCTATTGATATTTCCATTTTGTTCACACATTGTTTTTTTCAACTTTCTTCACATTGTCCTTTATTTCTTTGAGCATCTTTAAAATTGTTGTTTTAATGTCTTTGTCTAGTATATCTGTCATCAGGTCTTTTTCTGGGACCTGTTTCTGTTATCTTGTTCTTCTGAATGAGCCATATCTTCCTGTTTCTTTATATGCCTTTTGATTTTTTGTTGAACACTGAACATTTGAATTTATCAATGTGGTAACTCTGGAAGTCAGATTTTCCCCTTCCCCAGGGTTTTGTTATTTTTGTTTATTGTTTTTCTTACTGTTGAAGGCTGATCTCTGAAGATAGCCTGAGGTGTAAACTTAACATTTCCTCAGGTCTTTTATGAGCCATTCCCTGGGCAATCATAGTCACTTTCTAATCCTCCCATATGCATATGCCGTTGTTTTTGAATGTTCTAGGCTTTTCACTCTCAAAAGGGGAAACATGAAAAATGAAGGGGTGGGGGAAAGGCACCAGCCCTTTAAATCCCCTGGAGATGACTTCAGCTAGAGGGGAGGGGGTGAAGCTAGCAACAGGGCAACAATGGCTGCCTGCCTCTTTGCACTTTTGAAATCAGAAGCAGTAATCAGCAATCAGAGGACAGATCCCCAATACCTGGAGGACAGGGTCCTTCTTGTCCACCCTGGCTCCTGCAAGCTGCTCTAAGAACAGCACATAGCTGCCTGTCATGGGGCTGGGGGTGGGGGATGAGTAGCTGCCACTGTGCTATGAGCTGAAATCTACTGAAGTTAACCCTGGAAGTTTTAGGCATTCAACAGACTCCAGAGTTCCAAAAATAATTACATCAGACAGATTCTACCACTGCAATTATTGTCTAGGTGGAAAGACAAATTCTGGTGCCTCCTACTCTGCCATCTTCCCAGAATCCTCCCCTTTAATATATAATTTTTAATCCTTTATATTGATCTTATAAATGAAAAGATTACCAATAGTACTTTTAAAAATCACTTAACTTTAGATTCTGTATTGCCTGAAGAGTTATAAAGGTGTTTTTACTATCTACAAATGTACGTGGGTAAGGATGTGTATATGTGTGTGTGTGTGTGTGTGTGTGTGTGTGTGTGTGCAGGGGGGATGATAACAAGTGTGATTATTCAGAGCTTCTGGTTTAAATTTGGATAAGGAGGTTATTAATCTAAAAAATACATACAGACAGTTGACCTATTCCCTACAACTATTATCTGTAAGCCCAAAGGTGACTGATTTGTTATAAGGTGAGAATCTGAGACCCAACTGCCCGTTTAGCCCTATGTTATGATGTCATTCTAGGAAAATAACAACATTTCTCTTCCTAACTAGTGAAATTCCAGGGTTAGTTCTTTAATTAACTAGTTACCCCAAATGACAACAAGGCACTTTGGGATTCCCTTTTTTAGGTCAAGTATGTTTTTTAAGGCATCTGACACTAGTTCTTTGTACTACAAATACTCACTCTTCCTTGTGGACACAGCCTCCAGAAAGGGAGCTTCAAGGAATGAGGAAGGTGCACTGCTGCTGGCTGACCTGGGCAGAGTTTCTTCCTGAGAAAGGCATAGGCAGACGAGAGAGAGAAAGAGAGAGAGAGAGAGAGAGATCTCATGCTAATTAATAATGTTCACTCATAAATATTTAACATGAGGCACAAAATTTTAATGTCAAAGGTTCAAGGCAAGTTGGAGACAAGCTAGAAGGGATCTAAAATTAGACATGTCTGGGTTGTGCCCTGGCTTTGTCCCTCATTAGAGTGATGTGACACTGAGCAAGTTTCTTATCTTAGTTTCATAATTTCCATAGGTCACTACAAGGACAGATCTGAGAACACATTTAAAATGCTTACTACATTACCTAGCACACAAGAAATGGTGATTAATATTATCATTAGTGGAGTATTAAACACACTTATAAAAGTAATAGACTTGGAACCCCACAAGGGTAGATGTGGTGTATCGTGTTCATCGTTGTTACCTAGTACGAAATCCATCACTTACTAAGTAATGAATAAATATTTGTTGAATGAATGAAAACAAATATTTCATGAAATGTCATATGAATCTAGAAAAATGTCTGCATTGTGCCAAATAAAGTTTAAATTCCTATTACCAGTGAGAAGAGACCTTCTTAATTTGTTTTACACTATACCAAAATAAAGTATAATATTTATTCATGAAAAATTTACTATTTACTATGTGACAGGGGATATACATTAACTAGAAGACAACTTATTTCCATAATATGTATAGAAAACTGATATTTTTAAATATACAAGAAAGTTAGGTTAATATATGACTATGACTATGTGAAACAAATAGTGAAAATTCTCTCTGACCTACTTAGTTAAGGTGACTTTAAGCATTAGCCATTCACTAAAAACTGGCTTTACCTAAAACCTACTGCTGAAAGCATTAGTTTTGAACACACCTCACTACAAAGGATCTGGCCAAGGAACAAGAGAAGAAGAAAGCCTTGTAAACCGCACAGTCCAAACAAAGGCAGTCTGAGCAGCAACCTCCGCATTCTTGATACTCAACACCAAGAACAAGTCAGGCAACGTAAGCAAAGACCCACTCCAGACACGCTGGAGGTCACACAAGTCTCTAGAAAAGCCAGCAAGAACTAGCATAATCCCCTTCTGCTTATGGAAGGTCAAAAAGGAAATAAAAGCTAAGAGTATCTCATAGGAAAAGAAAAACAGAGTCATACCAGGACTTTCCAGTAGTTATGAGGTGGGAGCTAGAAACAAACAGCAGAAACCATCCCCAATGCACATATTTCAGCCAACCTTCCCTAGAATCATTTTTATAGCCTAATTTCACGTAAGTCTGCGACATGTCCATGCCTTGCACCCCACTACTTACTGGTCTGAAATCCCCGCTCTGAGAACAGCCAAGAGCCTGTCCTGGGCAGGCAGGGCCATTGCAGGGACGGGGTGTGGCTCAGGGCCTCTTGGGATTTGCTCCCAGAAACTGTGGTTGGTCCTCTGGCCCTGCACGCCCACCTCAGGCAGCTGCACCCACTTTCAGACTACTTGAAAACTAATCCTACCATTAAAAAAATAAACTCAAACTGGATTAAAGACCTAAATGCAGAGGAAAACATAGGCAGAACAGTCTTTGACATAAATCATAGCAGTATTTTTTTGGATCCGTCTCTTAAAACAGGAAATAAAAGCAAAAATAAACAAATGGGACCTAATTAAACTTAAACTTCCTTTTGCACATCAAAGGAAACCACTGACAAAATGAAAAGACAACCTACTAAAGGGGAGAAAATATTTGCAAATGGTATGACTGATAAGGGGTTAATATCCAACATATATAAACAGTTCATACTATTAAACATAAAAAAAAAATTAAAAAATGGGCAGAAGAACTGAACATTTTTCCAAACAGGAAATGCAGGTGGCCAACAGGCACATGAAAAGTGCTCAACAGTGCTAATCATCAGGGAAATGCAAATCAAAACCACAATGAGCTATCACCTCACACCTGTCATTTTGATGTCAGAATCACTATCATCAAAAAACAAAAAAAAAAACCCACAAATAACAAATACTGGAGAGGATGTGGAGAAAAGGGAACCCTGGTACACTACTGACAAGAATGTAAATTGGTCTAGCCACTGTGAAAAACAGTATGGTGATTTCTCAATAAACTAAAAATAAAACTACCATATAACCCAGAAATTCCACTCCTGGGTATGTATCTGAAAAAAACAAAAACACTAATTCAGAAAGATACATGGACCCCAATGTTCACAGCAGTATTATTTACAGTAGCCAAGATATGGAAGCAACCTAACTGTCCACCAACAGATGAGTGGCTAAAGAAGATGTGGTATATATATATATATATATACACATACACACACATGCACACAAACACACATATACATACAATGGAATATTACTCAGCCATGGAAAAGAATAAAATTATGCCATTTGCAGCAACATGGATGGATTTGGAGGGTACTGTGCTGAGTGAAATAAGTCAGAGAAAGGCAAATACTATATAATCTCAATTATATGTGGGATCTAAAAAATATGACAAACTAGTGAATATAACAAAAAAGAAGCAAACTCACAGATATAGAGAACAAACTAGTGATTACCAGTGGTGAGGGGCAGTGGGGGAGGGGCAATAGAGGGGTAGGGGATTAAGAGGTACAAACTACTATGTATAAAATAAGCTACAAGGGCTTCCCTGGTGGCGCAGTGGTTAAGAATCCGCCTGCCAATGCAGGGGACTCGGGTTCAGGCCCTCGTCCAGGAAGATCCCACATGCCATGGAGCAACGAAGCCCGTGTGCCACAACTACTGAGCCTGCATGCCACAACTACTGAAGCCTGCACACCTAGAGCCTGTGCTCCGCAACGAGAAGCCACCACAATGAGAAGCCTGCGCAACGCAATGAAGAGTAGTAGCCCCTGCTCACCGCAACTAGAGAAAGCCCGCGCAGCAATGAAGACCCAATGCAGCCAAATAAATAAATAAAATTTAAAAATAAAATAAAATAAGCTACAAGTATATATTGTACAACACGGGGAATATAGCCAATATTTTTTAATGAGTATAAATGGAGGATAACCTTTAAAAATTGTCAATTACTGTATTTTACACCTGTAACATATAAAATTATACATCAACTATATATATAAAGTATTTACTTCATAGAAAGAAAGAAAGGAAGAAAGAAAGAAAACTAATCTTCACCAGGATTAGTTCCTGCCCCAGAGGAGTCACGGAGACACCCAGAAAGGAACCGGGGAGCGTGTGGTGTCCCTGTCATGTCCACTCCCGTTGACTAAACACTTTCTGCCTGGCTGAGGTGTTTCAATGGGTCTCTGACATCTCTTAACATTAGTCTTTTCTACAGCCTGGTCTGGTTTCTGAAATTTGCTTATTGTCTGCGTATTGTCTGATCCAAGTTACTAGTCTCTGACACTAAGTTAGGCCTTTTCTAGTTCTTGACACTAAGTTAGGCCTTTTCTAGTTCTTGACACTAAGTTAGGCCTTTTCTAGTTCTATGTCCTGACCAGTGACTCTTAATCAGGTCCTGGATGCAATGAGGTCACTGTCAGAAGTCCCGCAGCTTTGCTCCCGGGGTGGCACTGTCACTGAAGGCTGCCAGAATCGTCTCAGATGCCAGCCTGACACCTAACTCACTTAACAGGAAGGTAAATCTCCTTCTTCCTGAAAAGAATCCCAGTGAAGGCATAGATACAGCTCCTTTGCTTAGTTTTCCTACTGAAAGCTTTGATATAGCTCCAATCAAAGCTTATCTTGACTTTTAAAACGTTACCTGGGACAGGCCAGCAGAGGTTATTAAAGATAAGCAAGAAACACTGAGGTTTAGAGTTTTAGGAAGAGAGAAAAAAATGATGGAAAAAGATCTGGTGTTGGGAGGTCTGGTTTAGCAGGGATTCTGCTACTGAAAAGTTGTCTGACTTTCTAAAGTTGGTCTCTATCTCTACTAGAGGCTCAGTTTTCTCACTGAAAAGTAATGACGTTGAACAAGATTTCTAAGCCCCTTTCCAGTTTAAGTTATTTTAAATTCAAGCATTCTCATATACTACTAGTTGAAATACTACAAAGTTTATGAGATATGAAGATTTTGGAGTTAGACTTGGGTTTCAAATCCGTCTCTATAATTTACTCTTTAACAATCTCAGTTCAAAGACAACACCTTTCTGTGTGATCGTAGCTACTTCTAGGGTCTGATCAATTTATAATACCTAAAGTATAACATAGAGTTGGCTCAATAAAAAGCAGATATTAGAGCTTTCTTTAAGGACCTTGGCAATATGTATCAAAAGCTATAAATATGTACATTCTTTCACCTAGCAAACATTCTTCGAGAAATATCCTGAAAAATAATTCAAAGCAAAAATGTATCATAAGGATGTTAACAATATTATTGTTATTTATAATAACAGAAAACTGGTAACAGCTTAAATGTTCAAAAACAGGGGACTGGTTAAATATAATATGGCAAATTATTATGATAGAATACCACACAGATATTTGGCATCATGTTGAAAAAGGATTAATCAGATGGGAAAATGCTCATAATATTTTGTTAAGTAAAAAGCATGGGTTAGTTCCAGTTCTGGCAAAATGGCAGATTAGATAACCTATTCCTACGGCCTCAAGCAGGGTATAAAGTCTCTGGGTCACTACCAATAGCCCAGTTTCACAACTAGAAACTTTTAAGGACATCAATTCAAGCTTGTAGTTAATGCTGATTACTTAACTATTATAATTTAAATGCACAAAGCTGCTGGGTAAATCTAAGAGAAAAAAAAAATCCCTTTACTGGTTCTGCAACTGGAGGTCTCACTTGACAGAAAGGAAGAAAATGCATTTCCTTGAAGGAACAAAGGACGCACAGCATTAAGAAGACTGAGGGCAAGTCATCTCTCATGGCTCTGAACAGGATTAAGGAGTTTTTCTTTCTACATAAAGCAGCTGAGTTTATGTTGATAAAGTAAATAATCCATTAATATCCATTTCATAAGAATATCTGACTTGTAATAATATATTGACTCTTTACAGGGAAATTCACTACTCAATGGGGAATATTTAGACAGGAACCTGCTCTTTGTGATAATCTGGGCCCAACTTTAAGTTAACCTCAAAGACAGCAAGGGGCAACAGGAACTTTCTGGTGCACAATGCAGTCAAATGAAATATGTCTGCAGAGGTGAGCAGAGCTGCTACCCTGGAATGGTGGCAGTTACCTCTTAGTATGAAGTCTCTGTGGAAGAGAAAATTAAATGAGATCATGTACGAACGAGTTCACCATACAGTCGGTATTCTGGTGGCTGGAAGGGTTTTTTTGGTCTGTTTTTATTTTTGTTTTTGGCCGTGCTGCATGCCTTGTAGGATCTTAGTTCCCCAACCAGGGATTGAACCCAGGCCCTCAGCAGTGAGAGCCTGCAGTCCTAACCACTGGACCACCAGAGAATTCCCCTGGAAGGTATTTCTTAAACCTGAGGGAAAAACCTCCGGTGGAGAGACTGCAAGGCCAGCAGGAGACGTGTGATCGTGCACAGAAGCACTTCCTCCAGGAGTGAGTACGGTGCCCCGTCCACAGAGGGACGAGCTCAGTGTCAGGCGTGCTGGGACTTCCTAGGGGACACTTCCTCTGAGAATGGAAAAGGCATGAAGATGGGGAGGTGGCGGGGTAGGGAGTGGAGAGCAGGGCCTAGGCCCGCCTCCATTTCTAGCTGACCCACCTTGTACTTCTACAGCTTTGATGTGAAGGAAAAGTTTTGGTCCTTAAAAAAAAATTTTGGAAGCCACTCAGTAAATGGGAGGGAAGGAGGAAAAATGGGCAAGTGGTAATAAAATTGAGGGGATGGAAGAAAAGAGTAAGACCAGCCTTTTCTGAGCTTCTTCTTTATTTGGCCCCCACTGTCCTCCCACTACAGGCCTGAGTATTAGTCTTTGTTCCTGTGCAACCTCCACCAGGAATGCTTTAGGCAAGTCAGAGAGGCAGGGTCAGTCCACTCCTCCGCCCCCAGGGGAAGTCCAGGCCAGTAGGGGAGAAACAGGAGACCGGCTGTGACCTGGCCTGGCACGTGCCACAAACAGCAGAAGCCCTCTGCCCACTGCTCTCCTCGCCTGACTCCTCAGCCCAGGTCCTCCCTCTCCCTGAGGCTTCTCCAGCCCCTGGCCCCCTGGTGGCATCACACACAGGTGGCTCAAAAGGTGCCTGGCAGGCCGCGAGCACTCACCAAACACGTGTAATGACTCAGTGTATGCTTCTTATTTCCCATTTGGATTATAAGCAAGGGGACAAAGCCTATCGCACTGCTGTCCCTTTACTGCTTACTGAAGGCATTTGGTAAATATTTAAATGGAAAAAATGGAGAGGCATTGGAAAAAAAAGAAGTTGGCGAAAAGGAAAAATAGGAGAAGAGTTAAAGAAAAAAGTGTGAAAAAACATTATTATAAAATGTGAATGAAGACACTGTGCAATGTGATGTGGGATAGATCTGTCTTAGTATCTGTGGCCATTTTCATAAGTGAGCAAATAGGACCAGAGATAAATCAATCTTGGCTTAGGAATTCCCTGACATCAGGAATCCGTTAAGGTGGGGAAAAGAACACCCATCCATCAACTTAGAGAAGGCAGGACTCCTCAGCCTCTTTTCCGCTTTCATATTTATGGGCAGGACTGCCACATTCTGGAGCTGCAGGAGACCTCAGATGGAGGACACGGTGGAGGCTGACACAAAGGGACCTGTCTTCGTGTCCTGTCCACAAAGCAGAGCCAGAGCCCACGGCATGTTCCTCACTAACTCACACTGTAAGGAAACCCGGCTTGAGTTTCAAGGTGCTTCATTCATGTCTATAGAAACATCAGATAATTGTCAGGCTTTTACAAGAGACATTTTTCTGAGTTGGCTTCAACCAGTCGGTAGATAATCTTAAAGAGGCTAATGTTAAGAAAGCTTTTTAGGATGAACACACCTAATCTACCACAATTAAATTAAAGCTGAGTTTCATCAAAAGAAACCCTACGGAGCCTCAGAGAGGGCACCAAAAAACAAAACAAAACAAAAAACCTCTACTGAAACTGATTATTCACAAAGGCCAAGTTTGAAATATAGCTGTTTAAAATTAAAGGCTTCTGCTCATCTGTGTTTTCTAAATTTTAAAGTTTGAACATATTTAGAAGTTTAAAAATTCTATATTCAGGGCTTCTCTGGTGGCACAGTGGTTCAGAGTCTGCCTGCCGATGCAGGGGACGCAGGTTCGTGCCCCGGTCTGGGAAGATCCCACATGCCACGGAGTGGCTGGGCCCGTGAGCCATGGCCGCTGAGCCTGTGCGTCCGGAGCCTGTGCTCTGCAACAGGAGAGGCCACAGCAGTGAGAGGCTCGCGTACCGCAAAAAAAATCTATATTCAGAAGTTCAAAAAAAAAAAGGAATGTAAGGCATTCTCACATTCAGCATCTTTGCCCTGCCCCTCCTTAGTACTTTAGAGCATCAGCTGTAAGGGAAGAGGACAGAGGGGCGTGCTTGCTCCACTCCTGGCCCAGGACCATTCCCTCTGTTCCAGAAATCAGAGATCCCCACCTTACTCCCAATCATGGGAGCCATGACTGCCCAGGCCTGGACCAGCAGCCAAAGACCAGGCTCAACACGTCTCAGCACTGTATTTCACACTCCCTTTCTAACTAATGGGCAGGCACGCAAACGCAGCCTCGCTCTGATTAAGAGAATTGTGTCTAGCAAATCATCTCAAGATTTGGATTTAGGGCATCAGCACAATATTTTCACAAAGAGGAAAACTAAGACAACTGCAGAGGCCGCCCACTGCCCTCCTCATGGCCTGGGCATTCTAGCTCAGGGCAGTGAAGGACGAAGAAAGGACAGGAAGGGGGTCCTGGACACGGGATGGCGTGCTCGCTGCACCAGACACAGGTGCTCCCAGCAGACTCTGCAAGGGCGGCACTGGTGTCAGCACCGTCCAGCTTGGTCACCTCCAGCCACACGTGAGAACTCAATGAACTGAGTTTTAAATTTATTTAATATAATTTGCATTTCAATTATCACAGTTCTAGTGGCTAACCACTAGATCTTCTTTTCATTTAAACTGTTGTTCTCACAGGTTAGCATGAATTTCTTTAAATATGTGAGTGTCTGCTGGGGATCAGGACCTGGGAATATAAGGTGAATTCCGCACCTTCCCTCCTGGGAGCTTGCACTTGGTGAGAGAGAGAAAAAAATGGATAATTATATTACAAAGGGTCAAGTGCTCTAACACAACAGACGGATCAGAGGGTTATTATGGAATCGGAGAGGAGCTGGGTGTAGGCTGCACGCAGATGCACAGAGCGGAGCAACAGGGAGTGAGCAGGAAAGAACAAGGGACCCAGTGGGGCTGAAGGGTAAACTGAGGCAGAGTGATGTTGCAGGCACCAGATGGCGCAGGCTCTGACGCAGCTTCTTCAGGGACAGGAGCTTAGTCCTGTAAGTGGCAGGAAGCCTTCAAAAGGTTTCAAAGACAAAGACCCTAGTGGTATTTGCAAGATGGAATCAGGGAAGCTAGGAAGAAGGAAGATAAGATATGACTGATGAGACAGCGCATGCACTGAATTGGGCAGTAATAAGAATACTTCTTTACTATTCTTGAAGTTTGAAAAACATTTAGTGGCAAAATTGTTATTACTGATATTGCTGGATAAGGTGTGGAGACCGGTGAGGGCGTTATGAGAGAATAACCCCTCAAGTTCTAACTTGGATGAATGAGGAGAGAATGGAGCCAGCAACCGAGACAGCAGACAGGAGACTAGAAGCCTGCTGTGTGTGGCGTGGTTTGGCAGGGGGCGGGGAAATCATTTCATTTTATATAAGCTGACTTTGAGGGTCAGGTAGTGGAGACATACAATAGTGACACTGCGGACAGAGGCCTGCAGAGATCTGGGAGCACCCACGTCAGGAACAGGAAGGATCCGCAGGGCATGGGCACAGTGTTGGAGGACTTGTCTTTTGGTGTTACTATTACATAAAGAAGAAGCTTCAGTATGGGGGTGTGTGTGTGTGTGTGTGTGTTCGTTCTAGAGAGGGAAGAATCTATGAAGATGTTTTTCTTTTTCCTTCCCCAAAACAAAGGGAAACATATTTAAGAAAATATAGGTTTGAAAATTACTGACTTATTTTAACCCCACTGTAATCTAAGACTACGTATGTATGTCACAAGTTATTCTATAAACTACAGCCACTATATTGGCCTTTATTAAATAACACTAAGTAATCCACTGTTTCATTTCCTGCTAAATGAATGAATTTTAAACCTAACTTTAATTGACTGAAAAATGGGAAGAGATTAAGTAACAGCTGGAGCAACACGAGGACCGGTCGGAGGGCGCTCACTTCCTGACCCCGAATCGGGACATGGGGGGCCGTGGGGACTCACCTCCGAGTCAGAGCTGTCCAGCTCGGCCAGAGTTGGGGCTTTGAGGAGTTTCTTCCGCTGCACAGGCACCTGCTGTACGGCACTTGCCCCATTTTCTTTTGATTGTGACGTTAAACCTCCATTCACCATCGATGATTCCAGGACATTCTTTGGAGATTCAGGGGTAGCTACCTCTGGTAAAACAAAGGTGAAAGCTTACCTTTTCTTGAGCACAGAAAGGTAGTCAGTGAACCAAACACACTGTTCCAAGTACCTGCACTTGGAATCACACCCGAGGTGATACGGCATTTCTACGTCATGCAAATACAACACAGAGGCTAGACACAGTAACACCTATGCATATACAACACTTGCGTTGACATTAACTGTCAGATTCAAATAAAGGAAACCTTTAAATGAAAAATTATATATTCACATTTGTAGATAAAAATTTAGAGCTAGAAGAAATACTACAGATAACTGACTCAAACTTCTCTATTTTCCAGAGGCCCAGAGAGGCTAACTTTCCTTTTAGCCTCTAAAGAGCTAGTGATCTACAGATCAGAGTGATGGCATGCACATATGGCTGTAAGATCTGAAAGTGGTTTGATTTTAAAGTAAAAACAGCTAATAATCTATATGCATATAAACATGAACACAAAGACTCTGAGATACATTTCCTCTGATAAAGCTGATTTTGATTATACAAAGTTCAAATCTGGATGGGAAGGCAGTGAAAGAAATGTGGCAGCACAGAGCACAGAGCATGGAGTACAGAGTATAGACTACAGAACACAGAGCATACAGTATGGAGTACAGTGAACAGAGTACAAAATAAGAGTATGTAGCACAACAGGTAAACTTTAGAGTATACAGTATAGTTAAGATGCAGATGGTCTGGATTCGAAGTCTAGCTCTAGTTGTTTGACCTTGAGCAAGTTACTTAAACTTTCATTCCTCAACTGTAAAATGGGGCTAACAACAGAAATGGGCTTGTTGTGAGGATTAAATAAGTTAACAACTGCATATAAAATACTTTAGTGTGTAATAAAGGCAGTGCACAGTAAATGTTAGCAATTATTAACACTGACTTTTATCTCCATTTGTAAGTGAGTGAACCAAGGCTAAGGATGATTCAGCCAGTCACACAGCCAGCGCGGCACAGCTGACACTGGAATCCTTGTCGGTACTGATTCTAAAAGGCCACCTTTTTTTGTAGTGGAGCCTGTAATCTTCCAATGCAAGTGGAACTAATTTTCTTCAGTATTTCAATAACTAATAATTTTAATAACTAACTACTAAATTAGAGTATTTAAAAGTGAGAAAAAGCAGTCCCTGCATGATTTAACTCACAGACCAGCCCATAACCTGGTTTTTGCCCATGGAGCAGTCTGTGAAACTCCCATGGTTGGGGGTAAAGGGTATGCTGGGCACTGAAAAATCAGGATTAACGCTTGTTTGTGGGGGTGGGGGGAAGCGTTGTACCTGAAGTAACTATAAAATACAAGAATGTTCTATTTATAGTAGCTCCCCCCAACATGTAATAGTTTTATGCTTGAAGTGGAAGAGGTGGATTTCCAGATAACATTCAGAATGTAAGTATGTTCTAGTACAGCTTTCCTTGACATTATTTAAAAGAATTATGTGAGTTATTTATTATAAATGATGTATATCTAACTTAATATTCACAATTTCTGCATATTTTTAGATATCAAGAAGGCCAGAACTAGAACTGCCCTTGTGAACTACAAGGGTTTGAGTGAGCAAGAAAGGAATGAGGAAAGGAAAAAAGGAAGAAGACAGACTTGTCATAAATCATTTATCATTTTACATAAAATGTTTAACAGAAAACTTGACAACAAATGTGTTGACAACACATGAGTTAATTTTGTTACTACCTCTCCAGGTATTAAGCAGCTAGAACAAATATATGATTGGGGGATGGGGTGTGCTGAAGGGACAAAAGGGCAAAAGCAGCAAGTTTTTACAAAATTACAAAGGTTAAAATCTTTAAATAAACCTTTCATAAGGTGTAGAAAGCAGTAGGCTGCCACACTTACAAGCGTAATTTAAAAGTCTTCCAGAGAGCAAAGGAGGAAATGATTGGGCTAATTGATTAATTCCTATTCAAGAAAAAAGGTAATGTTTAAATATGGTCTTGAAGTATCTTTTGAAAAATCGTATTCTATAGCACACACTTTTTACACACTTCCTCCAGAGGTTCATGCAGTAGCGGCAGCCAGTCTTCCAAGAAAAAGCACACATATCTCCCACTGGTCCAACTATCCACACCCAACTGAGGCTCTGCCTGGAGACACAGTGAGCTTCTCCAGGCGGGTCTCACAGGTCCAAGCCAGAGTTTCCTTAAGGGTGAAGTCACCAGTGGTGTGTGGAGGAACATTAACACAGTTTTAATGGTTATATATTTAATGTTTCAGAAAAAATATAATTACTATATCAGATACATGATTTTATGGATGTTTTTGCTTAAGAAAAGTTTAAAAGTCATTTATGGTAGATTTAAAAAGTTTGAACAGTACTGGTGGCACTTAAGTCTGGTAAAATCATGAGGGTGAGATCTGCACTGAAGTTTAGGGAACACTGTTAAGTGACAGTGGCTGCCATGAGCTAACTTCATTCTCAATGCAAGGGATCTGAGAAATTACCCAATAGCTCTCTAATTGCCTGAAGACTTTGCTGAGGTTGGTAACTGTACTTGAGCTCACTGACTCAAACTACTGAAATAAACACCTAGTATTCAATTCAAAGCTTTCGGATAAATGGAATTAATAGAAGAATATGTTATGTCCCAGTCAGGCTTCAGGATGATCTCCATATGTAAGACTAAATATTGTGTGTGATTTTATCTAATACTGCATATTTGTAAAAGCCCCAGTTGAACACACTTTTAAGAGATATTTTTAAGTAGTTTGATTACTTATACTTTTCTGTTCAAATGAATGAATCCTCATTATCACTTCAGTGTATCTGATGAGAAAACCAAACCCTTGGATAAGACTTTAGACTTCTTCTATATAAGACAGAATTTCTGGTGATATTTATAAGTAAACAAACTATTTAAGATGCTACACAGAGCTTTAGAAGTCACATGCCTCAGGTTCAGAATCTAAAACACACAACCATGATATTAAATACCTTATGTAATAACTTCTATTATTACACAGTGTAATAATTATGTCTGTTAGATACACCCAGGCTGCTGCCTTATTTAGTTGGAGGAAATATGGCTGAAATAAAGATTGTATATTTAATATTTGCATCAGAAAAATAAATTATACTTACCTTAATTAATGTTGACTGGATTAACATTTTCCACTAAGAATTAGTATTTCTAAAACATACCTGAGCAGCAGAACATACTTCAATGTGTCCTATTCTACACTTACGTGCATTACCTACACTACACGTTTAAATATTTACTCCTTAGTTAGCTAATTTCCCAACTTAGACAAGAAATGCATCCCGATCTTTGCATTTAGGTTAGAAGAATAGATCAGTCTTTTCCATTTATAATTTGGGACATTTAAATTGGTTAGTCAAAATGACACAATGAAAACACAAGAAATCGAGAATGAAGTGTGTGGAAATTGCAAAGTACACTAAGGTACAAAATAAATTATGGCAAATGATAAGCAGTGAAAGCAAATCAAAAATTTTTGTTGCTCCTTTACTTCGAGAAGCTCAGCACCAAGAGCTTTCTTCCCAACACAAGAACCCATCATATAACCTATAAGACACGAACACACCTACATACATGTGTGTGGGCATGCACGCCATCCAGGTCAGCCACCTGTGCCTACTTCACGGGAGACAGCAGCCAGTGTGCTTAGGCAGCGGCCACTCCCAGAGAGCCCACCAGGGAGGAATATCTTTAGTAGATATTTAGAAGAGATGGATCTTAGTATGTGTTGCCAACTTTTGGAGATTAGCAGTAACACACATGTTCTCAAACATTTCTGAGTTTATTTTCCAGACCAAGCTTTTTTTTTTTTTTACAAAGTTACTCTGCAAATCGTTGATAAAATAAAAATTGTCAAATGGATAAAGAAAATAGAAAAAGCTCCTCAGTGGTCAGTCAGAAGTAGTAAGTGAAGACTATAACATATTTATCTGAGTTTCTTGAAAGTGCAAATATTAGTCATGCCTAAGAGAACTACAAATATACATAGAAATTCAAAAAGCAGTTGGGAACTATTTTAGCAGTTGGAAGACACTCAGTAAATATTCACAGACAGAACATGATATTAGAACTCTCTGGCTCTTTAAATATGAATTTGTATGTAAGATATGCCAACAGTTCCATGGCATGTAAAAGAAAATTCTGGAAGGAAATACTAGTGCCAATATCTTATCTCATTTTGCATTCAAAACAGCAGCTTCCAAAGTCTAAAATTCTAACGTGCAAAACATTTTATTGGGACTAAGCTGGCTTTGCAAATTTGCTCATATATAATTTAAAAATTCAATTTAAAAGGGGGGCTGATTTTACAGGTCAAATTTAATCATTAATAGCTACTTGTTTCACTATTAGTCCCTGTCTATTTAACAGAAGGGCTCTAAACGTGTCCTACAAACCCGGGACATATGATTATATTTTACAACCAAAGCCATTACAACGCTCATGTGTTTTTAGACTCTTAATCAGCACAAAGAACCAGCGTGACAAGGCCCTACGCACAGGAGCACTGGGTACGCAGATAGCTCTTGGCCCTCAACTGAGGAGCAGTCGTCCTCTGAAGCAGCTGACAGTTCTGAGTTCAGCTACCTGAATAACTGAGTGCTTTAGAGAGTAAGAAGTGTCAAAACTTTGTTTCTTGAAAGTGTTTTCTATGCTCTGAAGGCAGAGTTCTGTTAGACTCTGACCGCTGCTTTATGAGATTGGGGGTGGGGTGGGCACTGTGTTCCATGACCACAAGTGTCACGGTTCTTCCACAGGCTCTTGCAAGGCAACAGATTTATTACAGTTTTAATTTTTTTAAAGTATACTATTTTCAAAGAAACAGAATGTTTTATTTGACCACAGCTTAGAAGAAGCCTTTCAATTTTCTTTTTTGACGTGTTTGAACAAGCAGATGAATGAAATGTATTTCACAGAGACCACAAAACCCACGTCAGGTGTGAAAGTGCTTTTTTTTTTACCTGACAAGTCAAAACTGTAAGACATGCTAAGTGGCCGCATTGCTGAAAAAAGAAAACAAACAATAAAAAGAAAATAATTCAGCTGTTAGGATATACAGGGAAGATGAAAAAGGGAGGAGGGTTCAAGACCTGTGGTGGCACATTTCACGCTTTAAGGCAGAAGGCAGTAAATAACAATCTGAAATACAATAAAACCATGAGTCTTAGTTTTAATTATATTACTAAGACTTGAAATGGAGTAACAATAAAAGAAAACAAATAACTTTTAAAGAACATGTTAAAAATGAAAGCATGTTAAAGATACAAACATTTTAGAATCATAGTACAGGACTTTAAAATATAAAAGAGTTCAAAAGAAAAAACTAGCCATGTTTTAAAACATGATTTTATGGAACATACAAAATCTTTAAAATTTAACAACAAATGTATTCTTAAATAATTAATTTCAGGATGAAAATGTGGCTCTCTGCATACAGGTGAAACATCTTATCAAAAATCTCATTCAGGTACTACCAGCATCACAAAGTATCACTAATTCTCTATTGTAGGCAGTGTAACCTGGCAGTTGAAGCAAGGCCTCAGGAGCCAGAGAGCCTGAGTTTGAACCTCAGCTCTGCCACTTACTAGCAGTGTGATTCCGGGCAAGTTACTTAACCTCTCTGTGCTTCAGTTACTTCATCTGTAAAATGGGAATAATAGTACCTATTTCATGGGATTGTTATAAAAATTAAATGATTCCATACAAAAAAAGGTGCTCAGAATAGTGCTTAGCACATAGTAGAAGTTAAATAAATACAATCTCCTATGAATAAACTTATTTCTTTCCTGTTGAAATCATTTGTTTTAAAAATTTTATTACATATACTAAAAAACACTGAATTGTATATTTTAAATGGGTGAATTTTATGGCAGGTAAATTATATCTCAATAAAGCTGATTTAAAAAGGTTATTACCAAAGTTTGATGAATTTGGGTATTCATAAGAATGAGAATTACCTATTTCCACTGTAGCCCCATCCATCCTATGCCCCAGGTCAGGGAGGACAGGTGGCTCTGTGGTCAGAAGAGGAGAGAACCGCAGGTCCACAGGCTTGTCAGGCACAATGTCCCCCCAGCTCATGTTTCCGAGGCAGCCCGCATACAGTTCTAACACCCAAATTTAACAGAATGAAAGTATCTCTCCATATGCTTTTGGCAGATGTTTTTAAAGGAACAATTTACAACCCCAAATCTCATAGTATGAGGTGTTAGAAAAGGTGTTGGGAAAAAGAAAATGATAAGATATGAACAAAGACTGATGCAAAAGAATACTAATTTCAGACTTAACAGGAAAAAAATGGAGCTAGCCTGTAAAACAATAGGGAAATAGGCGAGTAAAAGACAACTTAGCCATGTGTTAGTAATCACGTCCTTATAAATAATGCTGTGGGGCATATTTAACGACCTGGGAAGATGTTCCTGCCCCACATAACATTACATGGGGACATCAGACACTGTGCACACAGCTCTTGTCTCCACCTCATGACGCACAAGCTCCATCACAGCGCATGCCTCTGCTGGTGAAACTACGGGTAACAGTTCTTCTTTAAACATTTCCCCAATTTCTACAGTGGGTTTCTACTTGCAATTACATGGAGGGGTAAGGTTTTAAAGCTATTTAGGGAACTTTTCTTCAAGATAATTCTGCCAACTTTACCCAAACTCCCCAAGGGAAACTTTATAGTAAGAACCAATGTAGGTCTGCAGAAAGAAGAGCCCAAATCTCTTACGTTCCAATTAAGATGCAAGATCAATTTTAAAAGTAAGATTCTCATAGAACAATCACTTTCAATAACAGCTCAATTCTGGTTGTTGTGAAACACCAATTCATAAGGTTAAAATAAAATAAGATATACTATAGAGAAAATTGATATTTAATTATTCTAAAGTAGATTTCCTGCTAGTTAGCATCTAACTTGTTGAAAATGAAACAGAAGAATATGTATATGACAAGGGCATGTGATGCCCCTTCTATGCAACGTGCAGTGTCCCGTTGCCACCCACAAGGACTGCTGGTCTCCTGAACGCTCAGCCCCGGCCACCCCCATGCCCCTGACGGGCTGCTGTCGGCGCTGCAGGGGGAACATGTACCTGCTGCCCCGAGCCTTTCCTCTGTCAGTGCCTGTGGGCAGGGACTCTGACTGCTCATCTCTCTACTCCAACAGCTGACACGGCTGTTTAATAAACACTTGGAAAAATGAAGGAACTGTATGTCAAATATCATCCAAATCATACAAGCACGTTACGTCTGTCTTGTTCCTTTCTCTGTCCTGTTGGTGCTTCCACTGGAGTTTATAATCCCTCCTCTTTTCTCCTGAAAATCATGAAGCTTACTTTTCTCATGGTAATATATTTGTTTTGCCTTATAATTTTGTTGAAATCTTTTCTATTACCCCATTATTCCTTCTCAAGGTACAGTAATTTTTAAAAATCCGGTCTTAAGCAGCCGTCCTATAACACCATTTCCTTATTTTTCCATAGTGGTTCTTATTCTTTGAGGCTGTGGACCCTTTAGGAATCTGAGCAAAGCTATGAACCTCCTCTCCAGAAAATGCACATACATACACTTTAGGAAATACATACAAACTTGTTATATTTCAAGGGACTCACAGACCATCCTTAGGCTCATGCAAGGACTCCCAGAATAAGAACTCTCCATTTATGTCATGTATATGTTCTGGCTCATTATTATGTAAATGCTCATATGGATTTGTTTTAAACATCATTTTAAAGGGAAACACTTGCTGCCATAAAAATCAGACGGAGATAAATTCACACAGCCTGCCCTCACTCTGAAGCTCTGTACATGGAAGGTATGTGCTATTATTTCAACACCTCTGGGAGTACTTTTCATCACTGTCCCTGCAGTGGAGACCAGGACATAACAACCAACAAGACAGACGTGGGCCCTGCTGCCACGGAGGCCACAGTGTGACAGAATGGCCAAAAGTCAAACAAAAGAACATCAGCACGCAGTGACTGAGAGTCATGGGAGGCAGGGAGAGCCGCTGAAGTGGATGTGACTGACCAGACGGAGAAGAGGAGAGCCTGGGTCAGAGAAGGGAGGACTAGAGAGACCTAGAAGTAAAACCCACAGGGCTTGGCTGTTGGGTAAGAGCCAGAGGTGATGCTGAGCAATCTGTCCTGGGCTCTGAGATGGGGAACCAGGAGGAGACAGTTGGAGGAGAAACCAGGCGAGGTCACCGCTTGGCTGCGGGGCTTGTCGTGCGTGAGGGGCAAGGAGGCCCTGCTCAGCAGACGGCTGCACGTGTGGGTCTAAACTTTCAGAGAAACCTGCGCTGTAGGGCGGGAGCTGGGGAAACCAGAAACAAACCCTGGAGGAGAATGTGGTTGCTCAGGGAGAGGGAGCCCGGGATAGAAACCAGACGACTAAGCAGGGCTTGAAAGAGGCAGAAGAGGTCGGAGGAGAGAACCAGGAGACAGTGCCACAGGGTCGGCTCCTGTCCTGTTCAGGCACCACGAGACTGTTTCCCTGAATTCTTTGGGCATCTTTAATCTTACAAATTGGAGGACTGCTGCATCAACAAAAATGTTTACATTTTATAATATGGTTTTGCTCTAAATGAAAATCAATGTGTGCTTATAAAAAAATTAAACATAATAAATATAAAGGAATGTGAGTAATAAGTTAAGTGATATCAGTAATAATTGAGTCTCTTATCACATAATACCATATCTTCAAACCATAATTAAGACAATAGAAACCTGAAGTAAAACTATGTATCACTTATATTTCTAAAACGTAATAACTTATCCATGTATATGTATTACAATTTATAAAGTATTTTGACCATGATCCTATTTAATTCTTAAATGAAAGTCATAATGAAGGTGTAGAGGACTTTTTATCCCCCTTCTGCTGACGAAGAAATCAATGCTCACAGAGGTGAAGAGACTGTCCTAAAACCACAGCCTAGAGGTTGGCAGAGCTCTGTCCACTAGGCAGCGCGGTGCTCTCCTACACTCAGCATCACGGGGCAATAATTTCCTATTCCATGAACCTCAAGTATAGACTTCCAGCGTGAGGGTGTGTGTGTGTGTGTGTGTGAGTGAGAGAGGGCCCTGCAGACGGCAGTCTCTCACTGGGCTGCTGTGCTGTCTTCCAGTGATGCCCCGGACTCACCTAACCTGCCGCGTCTGGTTTCCTCTGGTGACACGGGCCGCAGCTTTCTTTCTGCTTTGATTTCTTCCAGGATCCTTTCATGGAGGCTCCGTGGCCGCGGTGGAGTAGGCTTCAGTTTTCTGGCTGAGGCCTTAGAAAAAATATAATGGCTATAGAGACTTGCTTGGGTAGTTTTCCTTATATAATTTTTACTGAAGTCCACTCATACAGTACATTATGAAATTATATTTTACTGATTGCAACACTGCTTGATAAAAGACCATTTTCAAGCAATAGGGAGATTACTGGACTTCACAGTGGTTCAGTCACATGTGCTCAAGTAACTTTAAGGAGTCAGCTTTGCTGCAGCTGTAGTCATGCTCCCTACGTGCTACTGTGACAGGCAATCCATTGAAATGTAAGCTGTACGTTACCTATTATGATTATTGTTTTTGAAAGTAATGTTTTTAAGTAAGTCATCACAACCTTCTTAGATTATTATCTTCGTTCTATAGTTGAGGAAATACAGGCTCAGGGAGGCCGATCAACTCTCTCAGAGACATGTGGCCACTAGGTTGTGTAGCTAGTGTGCAAATCCGGGCCCATCTGACTCCATGCTCTTTCTGCTCCACCAGGACCCGCCTTCTTAAAATTATTTCCTATGTGGCCTCTTTCCCTTATTTTAAAAAGATTTATAAGAGGGATCATTAATTATGTTTTAGATGTTCACAAACTGAGAAAGAAACACCATTCCTGTTCTAGTTACTGAACACACATGGGGTTTGAGAGGCCTTGGTGAGCACTGGCTGTGGAGCTGGGGGGAAGTAAGTGTAGAACAGAGGAAACGCAAACCAACATTCAAACCAGATCAGAACACCCTGATTCCATGGTCACTAGAAAGAACCCCGTCAACAGACGAAGATAATTAATACAAAAGAGGAGGTACAGCAGGGTGGATTTACTGTAAAACAGTATCAAAACGACAATTTAATCAAGGTGAAGTGTTTGTACCATAAAGTAAACAGGGAGGGCAGCCCACACCAGGAACTACTTGGAATTATATTCAGCTGTTATTCTAGGAGGTATTTGGCCAGATTTTGCACCATAACTCAGGTTGTTTGAGTTAAAATATCCTAAGACAGCCTGTATTGAATAATTTTAAGTACTTTTTTGTGAATTAAGAATGTAATTTACAGTTGGGCTTCATAATTCTGAGAATGAAAGCTCAGTGTAAATACTCCTTTAAGAGCTGAGTTCTAGAGGTCATAGGCTAGAGGAGAATACTTCATTATGTGCTCTCCAAACAAGGGGAATATGTCAAATTACATACTGGATTTAAAGGAGGTCTTGATCTGATGAAGTCCAGGATGATTTCATGAGCACTTTTTTTTAACCGAGGGGGAATATCACCATTCACCTGAAAGGAGACAAAAAGTAGAAGATTCATGTGACTACAGGTTTATCATTATAAGTTTCTGGGTACATATGTCAACATATGTCACTTCAAAATTACTGAAGTGGAATCTGGCTCCACCAAGGATGCATTTCAAATCAATAAAAATGGAGAGTAAATGGCTGAATGATTCAGAGCAAAAATAACTATGCAGAACTGAAGAAACTCCACGTCCACTTTAGTTCTACATTTGGGGAAATTATATATAAGATGCATCCTTCCAACAAAAAGTTTCTACAATTATGAATGTGAATGGAAAAAATAATACTACGCTTAATTACTATATAATTTCAAGTGTCTTTGGGACTTCCCTGGTGGTCCAGTGGTTAAGACTCTGTGCTTCCGCTGCAGGGGGTGCGGGTTCGGTCCCTGGTCAGGGAGCTGGGATCTCACGTGCCAGGTGGCGCAGCCAAAACAACAACAACAAAAAGTCTTTTACCTCTTATTTTCATCCTTGTACAAAATCTTGGTAATGGGAAGGAGTGGGGACATGGTTCACATTCTTAGACAAAGCTGAGGCTCAGATCGAGGTGGTGTCTGCCCCCTTCACAGGGTCGGTGAGCAGCAGAGCCTGGCAGGGGCCTGGTCTGACTGACTCTTGCCCTAACATCCTCTCTTTTTAAAGAAACAGGTTACAAAAATATTAAGAAATTTAAGAAAAACCCACCAAAAACCCCCCACCTAAACTCACATTCTGACCACTCAGAAGGCACAGTTGTGGTGACCATAAGTCATACTTATTTCCCAACCTCATGTGAAAAAACAGAACTGCTAGGCACTTTCTGTCATTATTCTCATAAAAGATAGATGAAAAAAGAAATGTTAACAAATTACAAATTTAAAAAACTGATGAATACCTTAAACTTCTCAAAATCCAGAAAATCAGCATACTATTTTTATTATGAACTGCCCGAAAAACCTCTATAATACTTTTTCACTCTACTTTGGTGACCTACTCTTTATCTTGTCATATTTTAATAATTTTATGTTATCAATTTTATTGGAGAGAAAAAAGATAATTTGTTTATTCCTCTAGCACCAATAGTTGATATTTTTTTAATTTTGATAGGTTAGAAAGGTTTCTTTAAGCTTCACAATTTGTTATTGAAATGTCATGCCCAATTTTAGAGTTATTGTAAAATTTGGTCAAACTTTTTAAAAGTATTTTCTTATCTGAATTGGAAGACTTCAGGGCATGGACAGTTTTGTTATGTACTTCCCAATCTTAATTACTGTTTTAATTGCTCAGGATCATTAATCAATTGGTTATTAATTTTTTATTGCAGCTGTATGAGTTTTGATCCTTTTGTCAATGTCACTATTTTGTGTCACCTGAGAAATGAAGTTAATTTAAAAAAAAAAAAAGAACCTGAACTGCTGCTCCCAGGCCCAGTGGCTGCCTCCCACAAATGCGACCACTCAGGGTGTGTGACAAGCCTGCTGACATCATCCACTCCCCTTTTCCCTGTGCCCCCCGCCCCCCAGTCCTGAGTGAGGACAGGACAGCCCTAAGGTTAGAGTTAGGAGTGAAAGCTGCCTGAGCTGAGCCACGCTTGTGACCACTAGTACTTGGTTTAAGGAGTGTGTGTACCCAAGCAGCAGAGTTGGGGGCCTACCGTGGCACCACTCTTCACCCATGGACTTCATGTTACACAAGACTTTTTAAAAAATCCTTATTGTATGAACAACTTAATCAGACCTTTCTATTCTACTCCTGAACAGGATAACACATATCTTTCTAGCTATTTTTTTTTAATTGGCATTTTTTAAAATTAATTTATTTTTCAATTTTATTTTTGGCTGCACTGGGTCTTCGTTGCTGCGCTCAGGCTTCCTCTAGCTATGGTGAGCAGGGGCTACTCTTCGTTGTGGTGCACGGGCTTCTCATGTTGTGGAGCACGGGCCGTAGGTGCGCAGGCTGAGTAGTTGTGGAGAGCGGGTTCAGTAGTTGTGGCTCACGGGCTCTAGCACACAGGCTCGGTAGTTGTGGCACACAGGCTTAGCTGCTCCGCAGCATGTAGGATCTTCCTGGACCAGGGCTCGAACCCGTGTCCCCTGCATTGGCAGGCAGATTCTTAACCACTGAGCCACCAGGGAAGCCCTCTTTCTAGCTATTTTTCGTATACTTTTATTTTAATGTTCTTTCCATCACAACAGCAGGGTTGAGTGAGGTAATGGAGTCAATAAGGCCAAGGTTGTGAGTTCCATTCCCCAAACAAGCACATTAACATCAGTTTCCTCACTAGTCAGAAACTGGATCCTGGATCCCAATTACAAAATGTGTGTCAGTGCTCATGAGGGAGCTGCAGGCCAGTATTGATGTAAGTCAGTCAGTCAAAGTCCTTACTAGCAGGAGGAAAAGTAACAGCAAATTCCATTCTGCTGCTGGGTCAGTGAAATTACTTTTTTTTTTAATATAAATACAGAACACACCCTGAAACAAGCTCTCTGAAGCTGCAACAATAAATGATTTCTAGATGAACACAAATAGTAGGCCCATAAGTAAATGAGACCAGTTATAGAACCTGATCTTACTTTTGAGCCACAATGCCTTAAACAAATAACTTCTCTATAAAAAATGTTTAAGTTTCTACATCTTTATTTTTCTTTTCAATTTTATTTATTTATTTTTGTACAGCAGGTTCTTATTAGTTATCTATTTTATATATATTAGTCAATCCCAATCTCCCAATCATATATGTCAATCCCAATCTCCCAATTCATCCCACCACCACCAACCCTCTGACTATACATTTTACAAGGATCTTTCATTACACTGGACTAGTCTTCTCAAATAATTGGTTTATACTTAAGAAAAAAGAGGTTAAGACAATTAGAAATAAAATGCCTCCTCTGTTAGGCTTCTATTAATCAAAGAAAGACAAAGTTTTCAAGAGCTCAAAAACATCAGAAAAACAACAGATCATCTGATCAGGCTTTAGACCAAGGTAAATAAATAGAGGGAACTTGGTAATGTTTTTAAAAAAAAAAAGACCTTTAATGAGTTATAATTCACATATAAAATTCACCCCTTTATTTATTTTTTTTTGGCGGCACCACTCGGCATGTGGGATCTTAGTTTCCTGACAGGGATTGAACCCACACCCCCTGTAGTGGAAGCACGGAGTCTTAACCACTGGACTGCCAGAGAAGTCCAAAATTCACCCTTTTAAAGTGTACAATTCAGGGTTCTAAGTAGTCACAAGGTTTTGCAATCACTACCAATAACTTCAGAGAAATTTTATCACCCCAAAAGTATATGCTGCACCCATTAGCACTCATTCCTCATTCTTCCCTCCCCACAGCCATTGGCAGCCACTAATCTACTGTCTTACTGATGTGCCTACTCTGGAAATTTCAAATAAATGGAACCCCTCATACATTATGTAGCCTTTTGTGTCTGGCTTCTTCCACTTAGCATGTTTTCAAGGTTCACGCAGGTGGTAGGATGTATTGGTACTTCATTCCTTTTTATGCCTGAATAATATTCCATTGTATATTACCCACTCATGAGCTGATAAACATTTGGATGGTTTCTACTTTTTGGCTATTATAAATATGCTATGAACATTCATACATAAATTTTTGTGTGGACAAATGTTTTCATTTCTCTTAGGAGTGCATGTAATGGCTGGGCCGTAAACTCTATGTTTAACACCTTGAAGAATTAGCAAACTATTTCCCCAAGTGTGCACCATCTTACATTTCCATCAGTGCTATGAGGGTTCCAATGTCTCCACATCCTCACCAGCATGTTATTTCTTGTGTTTTTTATTTTAGCCACTCTAGTAGGTGTAAAGTAGCATCTCACTGCAGTTTTGATTAGCATTTCCCTAATGACTAATAATGTTAAGCATCTTTTCATGTGCTTATTGGCCATATCTTCTTCAGAGAATAATTCAAATTATTTGCCCACTTTCCAACTGGGTTGTCTTTTTTATTGTTGAGTTTAAAATATTCTTTATATGTCCTGGATACAAGTCCCTTTTTGGATATATGATTTGTAAATATTTTCTCCCATTTTGTGGGTTGTCTTCACTTCCTTTATATTGTCTTTTAAATCACAGAAGTTTTAATTTTCGATCAAGTCCAATTTATTTTTTTCTTTTGTTGCTGTACTTTTGGTGTCATATCTAAGAAAGCACTGCCTAATCTAAGATCACAAACCTGTTTTCTTCTATGAGTTTTATAGTTCTAGTTCTTAAATTTAGGTCTTTCATCCATTTTGAGTTAACTTTTATATATAGTACGAGGTAGCAGTCCAACTTCATTCTTCTGCTTGTGAATATCCATCTGTCCTGGCATCATTTGTTGAAAAGACTGATATTTCCCTTTTGTCTTGGGATCCCACAGAAATCAACTGACAACAAATGAAGGCAATTATTTCTGGACTCTCAATTCTATTCCACTGATCTATGTTTATCTTTATGCCAACATCACACTGTCTTGATTACAGTTTCTTTGTAGTAAGTTGTAAAATTAGGAAGTGTGAATCCTCCAACTTCGTCCTTTTTTCAAGATTGTCTTGGCTATTCTGGGTTCCTTGTAATTCCATGTGACTTTTAGGATCTGCTCATCAATTTCTGAAATGACCGGCCAGGGAGCAGCGACAGCACCACACGGGCATGGCACGGGGTGCCCGAGTGCAACTGCCATGGCCACCTCCCTCGGTGGGGTTGCCTGTTCGGGGCGCCTGCCCAGTTACACAGTCCTTGGGTCGCCCGCGCCCCGCGCCTAGCCGTTGCCACAGCTGCTGGAAGAGGCAGTTCAACAGCCAGCCGGGCTCTGGAGCAGCCGGCCGGGCTCTGGAGCACCCAAGCCCGCTTCAGGAAAGCGGCTTCCGCTCCTCGACTGCCGGCAGTCGGCTGACGGCGGCCGACGATCTACATCTTTATTTTTAAAGGTGAGTTATCTGAAGTTCTCTGTTAGAATTAAAGCATTTTACCAAAACATTTTGAAAAAATTCCATCGAAATGTTTTGTACTTCTATAACTTAATGTTCTAAATATAATCACATATGGCTAAGCCATTTAATTCCCATCATGAGCATCACAAATATACAAAAAACAGTGGATTACTATGGTATAGTTATGTAGTTTAAACCTGAGGATTAAATTAAGAACATCTTGGCATACCGCTTCAGATACAGATAGACTATGTGTGAAAATCCATTGTGTTTACTCTTTACAACAAAATTTTTTTTAAAGAAATTAGGAAGTGGCATTATATTGATAAAAGTAAAAATTTTTTTAAAATATATCCAGTTTTTGAATGATTAAATATGAGTAGCTGGGGCTTCCCTGGTGGTTGAGCGTCCGCCTGCCGATGCAGGGGACACGGGTTCGTGCCCCGGTCCGGGAAGATCCCACATGCCGCGGAGCGGCTGGGCCCGTGAGCCATGGCTGCTGAGCCTGTGTGGCCACAGTAGTGAGAGGCCTGCGTACCGCAAAAAAAAAAAAAAAAAAAAATTTGAGCAGCTGAATTTCCACTGTCATTTATCAGGCACATATATACATAACAAGGAACTAATCAAAATCTTAGCCTGTTAGACTAAAACTTGAAAACTTCCCCCACACAAAACCAATCACCACTAGAACTGCCATCTGCCTAGTCCCCTGCACAGAGGCTCAGTATAAACGTATCCAAGTGAACTGCATGGAATTAGCCAGACAAAGAAAGACAGAAAAAAGGAAAACAATAATGGGTACCACAGAGTAGTAACATGTTCTTCTTTACTTACTACTCACAACCTCCAAACTGTATAAACATGCACATAACAGGAGTCCCAGAGGGACTGGAAAGACAAGAAAGGACAAAGAAAATGTGAAGAACTAATGGCTAAAAACTTCCAAAATTTGATAACAATACAAATCTACTCATCCAAGAAGCTCTATAAACTCCAAGCAATAAACTCCAAGAGAGCCACAACAGAACACATTATAGTCAAGTCGTTGAGAGAAAAATATTGAAAGCAGCAAGAAGTGACTATCACATACAAGGGATCCTCAATTAGATGAACAGGTGATCTCTCACTAGAAACCATAAAGGCCAAAAGGCAGTGAGCTAAGTTTAAAGTCAGAAAAAAACACTGTCAACCAATAATTCTGTACCCAGAAAAACTCTGCTTCAAAAATGAAGAAGAGGGCTTCCCTGGTGGCGCAGTGGTTGAGAGTCTGCCTGCCAATGCAGGGGACACGGGTTCGTGCCCCAGTCCGGGAAGATCCCACATGCCGCGGAGCAGCTAGGCCCGTGAGCCATGGCCGCTGAGCCTGCGTGTCTGGAGCCTGTGCTCTGCAACGGGAGAGGCCACAACAGTGAGAGGCCCGTGTACCACAAAAAAAAAAAAAAAAGAAGAAGAAATTAAGACATTCCCAGGCAAACAAACACTAAGGGGGTTCATCACTAGTAACCCTGCCCTAAAGGGAGTTGTTCAGGCTTAAAGAAAAGGACAGTAGACAGAAATTTAAAGCCATGGGTTGTGGAATTACACATTTGTAACTTTTCTGTGAGCTTACTGTATTTTCCAGCTTTTCCATATTGAGAAGAACATTTTCAACAAATAAGATTACCAAAAAACAACCATTTGAGTCCATTGACAGTTTTCTTTGCTACTTACCATCACTTTTCGCAAAGTGTATCTTTTGGATCGAATGTCATCCATTAGCATCTCATAAGGGGTGAGCTGATATTCAATGGGCAGAGGGTTGTACTGCCGCTCTTGGACCTTCTTGAGTTTTACTCCATTCCGCAAATCCCTCATCACCTGCACCCAGAATCGAGCCTGAAAGAGCCAAGGGTGGAGAGAAATCCATAAATAAATTTACTAGTTTCCTCTAAAGAGCTATAGTCGTAAAGAAAATATTAAGAGCTTGGATTACAAACAACCAAGCAAACCAAAGAGAAACGATTTAAAAAATTAGATTTTAGGGTACTATAAAGCAGGTTGGATGCCAGCAGAGAATCCACCAGCTCTAACTGTGGGGACACCTGGATAAAACCCTAATTCACCCCCTGTGCTACCTGCATCCATGGCCTCAGTTCCTCAGGCCCTCATGCTCCACCTATCAGGTGGCTTTGCTCACTGAAGAGGTGTGTGTTTCTCACACTAGACTTTGGGTTTGGCTCTATTACTTCCTTGGCCACTGGAATTTTAGTGGATATGACATGACCAAAGACTTCAACAACAAATGCACAATGGCTTGTCACTCTGCTCCTGTTACTACCATGAGAACATCACGCTTGGGTTGGCACGAAGCACACTGGCAGGATTATCCAGGAGAAGGACGATGCACAGAGTAGAGCCACCACTCTGATCTGCAGACTCATGAGCTGAGTAAATGCTACCACTTTATGCCGTGGTATTTTGTAGTGTTCAGTTACGCAGCATTACTGTGACCACAGCTAACTGATACAGCCATCTACTGCTATTTGACATCCAGCAAGTTGCTTCCCCTTTCTGAACCTGGCTTCCTCATCAATAAAAGAAAATGGCACTTTATAACTTGTTGAGATGATCAGAGCTGATGTACAGTGTTCTGCACATAGAAAATGCTCAAAAATGACAATTTTTATGTTATTACTATCTCTGCACAAATTATTTAATATCAATTTTCTTATCTACAAATAATAGCAAGTTGCTCTGCCTGCCTTTCAAGAAAATGAAATATATGTAAAATATTTATTATAATTTAAAATATATTAAATGTGTTAATATTATTATACTTTAACCTTTTTGTTTTCCTGCCTATAAGCTATATTCTCGGCTTCAGTAAAGAGAAAATCAATATGATATTTAACTGAAATATTATAGGTTGTTAAACATTAATAAGTGGCTCAATAGCTACATAATATATTTATTAAAAATCAAGTGACATATTTCATAAGAAATGCCTACATAACTGATTAAACTTCTCAAAAATGTCCTCAAAAAATGATTTGTGATTTTTAAAAACTGTATACCATTTCTTATTCCCAAAAGGATTTGAGGTACTTAATACTGTGGTATAGCCATCAGAACATCTTCTAAAATATTAATATTTAAGACAAGTTCTTAGATTCTGCCATTAAAGTTATCCTAATATAAATCCCTAAAATATTTAGATCTCTCCTTTGGGAATGCTCGTCTCAACTTCTCTTGCTCATTCCTTGAAGATCCAATTCAAATACCATCTCATTTTTAAAATACTGTCTCTTCTCTTCACCTCCTCTGGCTTTAAGAAAACCTGACATATGAAACTTTGAATTCTCAAAACAGATAAATTAGTGATGATTACTCACATTAGAATCTTTTGCTATAATTTATAGAAAAATTCAAACAGACTCTTTTATATAGCCAGTTCATTCTATATTATTGTTGGCAAAAATTTTACAAATGACTTTTCAGAATCTAAGTTCCAGTTATATAAAATAATGGACAACTGTCACTGTATGTATTCCCAGAGATTTTATCACTTACCCCTTATTACACTAGAAAGATTCTGAGATGTATAGATTCTGCCATTAAACGTATTCTAATTCTCCTTCATACTATTACTCATTCCTTCCTCATTTCATTCTAATCTTTCTAGGTAGTTCACTTTCATGATCTTATGAAAAAGAAGCTGGTGATCTAGGCAAATGTAACTCCCTTTGGAGATAGTATGTCTCTTGTCAGTGATCATACTGTTTTAGATGAGGTTGCCTTAAGACAGTTAATTAAATTTTTGGTTCAACTTTATACTAGCTATTTGCTAACTTCTGAGCACCTGGAGTTATTTACCTGGCTTCAATGTCTTGGAAAACAAATTTAAAAATTTATTAACTGGGCTTCCCTGGTGGCTCAGTGGTTAAGGATCCGCCTGCCAATGCAGGGGACACAGGTTCGAGCTCTGGTCCAGAAAGATCCCACATGCCGTGGAGCAACTAAGCCCGTGTGCCACAACTACTGAGCCTGCACTCTAGAGCCCGTGAATCACAACTACTGAAGCCCTCACGTCACAACTACTGAAGCCTGCGTGCCTAGAGCCCGTGCTCTGCAACAAGAGAAGCCACTGCAATGAGAGGCCCATGCACCGCACTGAAGAGTAGGCCCCACTCGCCGCAACTAGAGAAAGCCCGCGTGCAGCAACGAAGACCCAACGCAGCCAAAAATAAATTAAAAAAAAAATTTATTAACCAAGATGACATACACCTAGAGCAACACTATGCAAAGGAAACTGATCATCAATATTATTCTAAAGTGACAATACTAGCTTATAAGACAATATAGCCTACTTGTTTTTTAACTTTACCCTTAAACATTCCTGATTAATATCATTCCAAATATCTCAGGAAAGATATCGTCCATAAATTAAGAATTTGCTAACAGGAAACACCCAAATGACCATCAACAGAAGAATGGATAAACAAATTGTGGTACTTACATACAATGGAATACCTCTCAGCAATAAAAAGTATAAACTATGATACAGGCAACAACATGGATGAAATCTCCAAAGAATTATGCTGAATAAAAGAAGCCAAAAAAACCCTTGTATATACTATGTGATTGTATTTACATAAAAGTGTACAAAATGCAAGCTAATCTATAGTGACAGAAAGCAGATCACTGGTTGCCTGGAAACTAGGGAGGAGGGAGGCAGGAAGTAGGGTTACAAAGCAATACGAGGAGACGTGGGGTGATGGACAGGCTCACTGTTTTCTTATGGTGATGGTTTGTTTCACAGGTGTGAATGTGTATGCGTATATGTCAAACTTATCAAACTGTACTTTTTAAACCTGTGCAGCTTGTTGTATGTAGATTACACCTTAATAAAGCTGTCAGAAAAGAATATGACAATTGAAATCTAACATGGTCAAAGGCGACTTGTTCATATCCTCCAAATCTGTATCTTTTCCGATTCCGTCATTTAATGTCATTATTTATCCAGTATCCTTAACATGAAAAGTCAGAATCCTAAAATGTGCCTTCCTACATGGATCTAGTACCATGTTGGAAAAATAGTAGACAGTCAGTGAGTCACATGAATACACTGCAATCATCTGTTCTAGAAATCTGTCTTCTGTTTCACCAGGGCAGAACGTTGTAATGTATCACTCATTCTGCATCCCCAGGGCCCTAATCCAGTAACTATTCATTGGATAAATGAATGTACTACACTATAGTTTCACTATATCCTGAAACAGAGCTTAAACTTTGACTTCCACATAAGAGGATGCTAAGGTATTAATGTAATTAGAAAGGTCAATATTTTAAAACACTGAAATTCTCAGAGACATTGGGGTGGTTCTAATAAAATTAGATAGTTTTTAAAAAATGGAATAGCTATTTCCTCAAATGTAAGGTTAGGCTTTCAAATTGGTATATCATTTCATAATAGTCCTTAAGATAGACCATTTTACAAAACATGACACGACTTCTTCAACACTAAACAGAACACAGAGAATACCCAGCTATCTCACCCAGTCAGCGTTTTTCAGCTCCTCCAGGTCTGTGTTAGATTCGTTACTCTTCTCCATTTCTTGGATCTTCTTCAGATTCTACCAATTAAAATTCAAATAAAACATTTAAGCACAAAATTTCATTAAGCTACCTTCTCAAATTAAAATTTCGAACGGATACCTTCAGATAAAATATATACAGAAGTGTTACTGAAGCAGATAGCACAGAATCTACTCCTCTGTAAATTTCAGCCAATTTCAGTAAATTAAAATAAATGCAGTCCTGCAGAGGGATGGACTGAGATTGTTCATTCTAATTTCCTTTGAAGCCTTGTGGTTAAACCTCAGTCACAATATTAATTCACATCTTCTAAACTGTACTGACATTTCCTTCTCCATCAACCCCCACATTCAATCCATCATTAATCTCACAGATGTAACTTTCTCTCTTTATTACTTAAGTCCTCTTCTTTTCATCTCCACTGTAAATCCCTTAATCCAAACACCATCTTATTTGGCCTGGACCTCTGAAGCAGCCTTGCCCCGGACGCTAAGTGCTAAGCCTTCAGGCAACCATCAATTTAACCACAACCACAACCCATGTTACAGGAGAAACTGAGGCTCACAAAAACTAACTAATATGTCTTGGGTACCCCAAGGTGAGTGACAGAGCAGGAGTGAAGCACATGGAAGTGCCCCAGGGCCTCAGACAAGGTGAGTGATGGAGCAGGACTGAAGCAGACATGAGGTAAGACGTATGGAAGGGACAGCACACGATGAGCAGAATGTTGGGAATGTAGCATCCAGACACTTAAATAACCCTGAGAAAACGGACAGGTAACGTTCTACTTTAACTTGGCCAAAATGAGCATTTACGAATTGGTATTACACAAGGAAAAGAATAGGATTTATGATTTATACCTGAGCTTTGCACATAACGGGTACTTAATAGGTGGTGTGACATTATGTCAAAATCTGAGTAATAGGGGCTTCCCTGGTGGCGCAGTGGTTGAGAGTCCGCCTGCCGATGCAGGGGACATGGGTTCATGCCCCGGTCCGGGAAGATCCCACATGCCGCAGAGCGGCTGGGCCCGTGAGCCATGGTCGCTGAGCCTGTGCGTCCGGAGCCTGTGCTCCGCAACGGGAGAGGCCCACGTAACGAAAAAAAAAAAAAAATCTGAGTAATAATCATTATTAACTAAATCAGGACTCTCAGTTTTCTGACTTTAAAGATATATCACAGGGGGCTTCCCTGGTGGCACAGTGGTTGAGAGTCCGCCTGCCGATGCGGGGGGTGCGGGTTCGTGCCCTGGTCTGGGAGGATCCCGCGTGCCGCGGAGTGGCTGGGCCCATGAGCCATGGCCGCTGGGACTGCGCGTCCGGAGCCTGTGCTCCGCAAGGGGAGGGGCCAGAACAGTGAGAGGCCCGCGTACCACCAAAAAAAAAAAAAAAGATATATCAGAGGTACTGGTATTACATTATCTCTGATATTCAAAATTCCTCATTTTTTGCTAGGGATTATTAGTTAGCTTTAAAAAAATCTCTGATGACTTAAGCCATAATACCAAAATCAGAACTGAGCGGGGAAGAGACCGAAAAGGAGAAGCACAGGTGTTATTTTGTTCCTCTAATGACTGCAACCCAGGCTCCATTCCCAAAAGAATTAAAGTACATACTACTTGGGATTTCCCTGGCAGTCCAGTGGTTAAGACTCCGCGCTTCCTCTATAGGGGGCGCGGGTTGGATCCCTGGTTGGGGAACTTAAGATCCCTCATGCCGTGCGGCACGACTAAACTAAGATAAAAAATAAATAACATAACATAAAATATAAAAAAAATAAAGTACACACTACTCTATTGACTAGAAGATTCTTTCAGGTTTTTTAACAATTAAAATGGTGAAAGAAAAGAGACTCAGGAGGTGAAATGCCTCTGGGCACCCTGAGACTCTATCAGGCTATGTCATCTATTTATCAGCAGCAACACTCAAACAATGACAGCTGAACCTAAGTCCGCATCTCCCTCTCCCTAGAAAGCTTTACCCCAGATGCCCACTTAGCTAATTCCCATATATCCTTCTCATTCTTGCTCAAAGGTTACCTTCTCAATGGGGCCCACCTTGACCACCCTATATAAATTCCAAGCCCCACACCCTGCCATGAGCAACCCCTAGTCTACGTCTTTCTCCAAAGTCCATCCTGCCTCTAACAGTCCATATGATTTACTTAATATGTTCACTGTCTGCCTCTCCCTGACAGATTCCAAGCTTCCATGGGGAAGTAGTTTTGGTCTATTTTGTTCACTGTTGGGCTCCTCAAATCTCTAGAACAGTGCCTTGCACTTAGTAGGTGCTCAGTAAATATTTGTTGAATATGTGAATTAAGATACTTTCAACCAAGTACGTTCAATCACTTAAATCTCTTCAATAGTTCTTATCACGTCAACTTTAATAAGCGGAAGCTCAATCAAAAGGAAAATTATTCAGAGGAAAATCTGTATTTTCTTCCCTAAACTCAGAATCCCCTGGAAGGATGGGATGGAGAAATCTTATCTTTCTGTCATATTTCTCCCATCACCTAAAAAGGCTGATCCCACAGCAACCACTTTATTGTTTATCCAATGATCTATAAACCAAAAGATAATGAAAAGAGCTGAAAACACAGTGGAGAAACTCATCTTTACAAGCCTATGTTGTTTTTAAAAATTCCGATGGTCTCTAGGTCCTTTTAGGATCCAAACAAGAGAAGGCAAGACAAATGTACAGATACAGTAGAAGATGGGAGATCTTTGGCAAGATGAAATCTTTATCTTTTTTCCTTGAATCCTACTGCTACTACCAAAAAGGTGATTACAGTAGGTCTCTGAATTGTTCTTTCTGCTTCAGCTTCTTCCTCATTTGGTTTATCTTCTCAATCCCCCATGACGGGTTCTCAGTGTCTCTGTTGTGCCCCTCAAACTGGGGTGCCTATAAGTACTTCTGGGGAACTCTTTTAGTTAGAGCCTGTCCTGGGGATGTTGAGAGAGAGAGAAAGCCAGTTTCAGATACTGGATCCATCTGTGCCTAAAGCCAGCTGTGCCCTTATATTCCCAATTAAGGGAGTCAATAAATTCCTCCCCCTTCCACCCATGCTAATTTGAGTGGATTTCTGTCACTTGCAATGGAAAGAATTATGATTTAACATGTCCCCTTTAGTCCAAAAATATGGGTTCACGCTTCTATGTCTTAGGGGTGGTCTGGTGGAAGAGTACGAGAAGCATATGGCCCTTTTTCCACCCAACCTTAACTGTTACTGTTCTCGGACACATCCCTGACAAAATGTAGCCAGGATGGTCTCACTGTTAAGACTTTAGACATCTCTATCTTTACTTGTGCTGTGACAAAATCCCTAACTCCCTGCAGCTAAGAAAAACTATCTGCTGTCTATAATACTGACAATAATTTAAATGAATGGCCTGAGAATTTCATGTTTCTTTATTTTTCTGAACAGCAAGTAGCACTAATTGTAGCTCGATACTTCCTAGCTGTGTGACTCTGGATAGTTATACAACTGCTCTAGTCTTCAGGTTGATTTTCTCACCTGTAAAATGCAGCTGCCAATAAATACCTTTTCGATTTTGTTAACATTACGTAAAATAATACAGAAGACATATAGCATGTGGCCTGGTTCATATTAAGCAGATTAGTAGATATTAGTTATTTAGCATTTATTTAGTAGTTATTAGTTACTATAAGCCAATGAATATCTATGAAGATTTGATTGTGAACACTTCCACTCTATTACAAAAACATTATTCTTTTTTTTAAACATTTTATCTTTTAACAAATGAGACCTCTCTTTAGCCTCTTCGTGAAGTAAAAAATCCTGAATCATCAATAAATCAGTATAAAATAGCTGAGAATCTGTAAATACTATAATTGAACAAGCTTGAACAAATATTCAATGAAGAATCTCAGGTTTTCTCATTAGCAGCAACAGAAATGAGTTATTTGAAAGTAAATTACAGATTTTTATAGTTTTAGAGACAAGCTTCTGTCAGTTATATTCTAGCTTCTGAATAAGTATTTTTTTTTTGCTTGTACAAATGTAAGAAGAGATGCCAACCTGTGCTTGGAATAGGGTGAGAAAGTCCTAACTGAGAGCATCCACACGGCAATTAACTCTCCCCATTTCTGACACAACCATTCTCAAGCTAGCAATTACAACTGCTCTTTGCCAACATCTTTAGTTCCCAGCATCTTAAAAAATAAATAAATAAAATCTACTCCATGAATCACAAGTATATCAAATACTCAGAGTAATGTTAATGTATTTGCATAGATTCAACCACCACCCTTACTGACAATGTATTCATGTATTAACATAATATTTTAATAACAGCATTTTAATGATCACCCTTTTCCTCCATATTGTTAACCATTTAGAACTATTTGTTATTTAATGGTATTCCCCTGTACAATGGGTACGTGTTTTCAGCTAGAAACTTTAAATGTGTAAAAATGAATGTTTCAATAATTCCTTGAAAAAAACCTTTTTTTAACTCAGTTAAAATATGCTAATATACTTTTAAAGAAATTACTTTCATAGAGACCATTAAATATATCTCACAAGTGACAAAGTCACTAATATAAATATTGCCTATAATAAACAGAACATGTATATTAGCCTCACAGAGTAAGAGCCATGATGTCCTTCCTAATTCAGATACTTTTACCACAGAAAAGAAAAAGGACTTCCAAATTAATATTTTGGAAATTAGAGCACAAAAAAGCCCCCAATTACAGCAATTCTTGTGATAAATGGAAGTCTCCCATGCATATAAAGAGCTAATGGATAATTACTAAAGAATATGATTTATATTTTCATCAACCTTTATGGCACTATCTTAAAGATGTAACATGCTCCTTCTCCCAGAGGGGTCGAAGAGGGAGAAGACATTTCTCTCGAGAGAAAGAGCATTTTACTTAATGAAAAATGTAAAACGTTAAGATACTAAACTGTAAGTTGATATTCTGTAAAGCTCAATTTGAATTTATACGGTTCACTGCAGAAATCAGAAAAAGTATAGATGAAGTCGTCAAAATGAAGGAAATGCATTTCT